GACAAGCTGGAATGTGTCCAGAGGAGGGCGACTCAAATGATCAAGAGTCTGGAGAACAAGCCCTATGAGGATCGGCTTAAGGAGCTGGGCATGTTTAGCCTGAAGAAGAGAAGGCTGAGAGGAGACATGATAGCCATGTATAAATATGTGAGAGGAAGCCACAGGGAGGAGGGAGCAAGCTTGTTTCTGCTTCCCTGGAGACTAGGATGCGGAACAATGCTTTCAAACTACAGGAAAGGATTTTCCACCTGAACATTAGGAACTTCCTCACTGTGAGACCTGTTTAGCAGTGAAACTCACTGCCCCAGAGTGTGGTGGAGGCTCCTTCTTTGGAGGCTTTTAAACAGAGGCTGGATGGCCATCTGTCAGGGGTGATTTGAATGCAATATTCCTGCTTCTTGGCAGGGTTGGACTGGATGGCCCATGAGGTCTCTTCCAACTCTTTGATTCTATGATTCTATGATTCTAACGTAGACTCATATAATCCACTTCAAAGCAGATAATATGGATTCTATGGCAGTGAAGAAGCGATTTAAGATACTATATTATTGGACAGAATTCAAAGATATAGCTGAAAAAGTCTGGAATGTCAGTATGCAAAGGGATTTTGTAGCACCTTAGAGACTAACAGAGAAAGAAGTTGGTAGCATAAACTTTTGTAGACCCTTCTACACTGTCATTTAATCCAGATTATCAAAGCAGATAATCCACACTATCTGTATTGAACTGGATTACGTAAGTCTACACTACCATATAAACCAGCTCAAAGCAAATAATCTGGATTTTATATGGCAGTGTAGAAGGGTCCTAAATCTACTTCTCCAAGATTTCAGAAACAGACAGGCCTTAAATGATCCTAAAGGATATGGAAGATAGAGGTGGGAAGAATATTCACAAACATTCATTCCTAGGTTTAAAAAGCCCCACCAGAAAAAATTGACAGAATAGTGAGCATTTTGAACCATTTTCTCTGAATGTTCCAATATCCTGAAGTGTTGCAAGGAAATTATCCAAAGAGAAAAAAAATGTGCAGAAAATCTGTTTCTGTGCAGAAAAGTGGTTTGTTTGGGAGTTTTGTTTTGCATAAAAATTCACATTTTTCTGTAGAATAATTACGTTGCAACACTTCAGGATGTTTGACTATGGACAGAAATCTGTAAGGGAAAATTTGTTTTCTCTGGCTGTCAAAAGAAAATTTCCACAATCATAGCAGACTATTTAAGAGTCAGTAAGTTACATCCCTAAGAGCCAGGTTCTCTGGGAAGAGATTGAGTTCTTCATAGAGATCAATATAACTGAATCTAAAGTTCAATATCTGGGGAGAAATTGAGTTTCTTGCTGAGGACAATTTAAACTTCGATGTTGGCTGAATGAGGCCTCTTGCAACGCCTGGCTCAAGAGCAGTACGTGTCCTATTCTGTCAAGATCTTGGAGTCCTCGTGGACAACAAGTTAAACATGAGCCAACAATGTCATGTGGCGGCAAAAAAAGCCAATGGGATTTTGGCCTGCATCAATAGGAGCATAGTGTCTAGGTCCAGGGAAGTCATGCTCCCCATGCTCTATTCTGCTTTGGTTAGACCACATCTGGAATATTGTGTCCAATTCTGGGCACCACAATTCAAGAGAGATATTGACAAGCTGGAATGTGTCCAGAGGAGGGTGACTAAAATGATCAAGGGTCTGGAGAACAAGCCCTATGAGGAGCGGCTTAAGGAGCTGGGCATGTTTAGCCTGAAGAAGAGAAGGCTGAGAGGAGATATGACAGCCATGTATAAATATGTGAGAGGAAGCCACAGGGAGGAGGGAGCAAGCTTGTTTTCTGCTGCCCTGGAGACTAGGACAAACAATGGCTTCAAACTACAAGAAAGGAGATTCCATCTGAACATGAGGAAGAACTTGCTGACTGTGAGAGCTGTTCAGCAGTGGAACTCTCTGCCCGGAGTGTGGTGGAGGCTCCTTCTTTGGAAGCTTTTAAACAGGGGCTGGATGGCTATCTGTCAGGGGTGATTTGAATGCAATATTCTTGCTTCTTGGCAGAATGGGGTTGGACTGGATGGCCCATGAGGTCTCTCCCAACTCTTTGATTCTATGATTCTATGATCTAAATATTTAGGGGATTTCTCATAGATAAAGGAGATGATAGAATTATTTGTAGGACTTCAGTATTGTGGATCTGCTTTTTATACTTCCTTCTGAAATCTATCTTTTCCAGATTTATGATTTATTTCCTTCACTCATGAGCCATATACCAGGATCTCACCAGAAGGCACTGTCAGCCAGAGACTTTGTGTGTTCGTTCATAAAGAGGGAGATCAACAAACACCAGGACATGGTTGCCACAGATGATCCACAAGACTTCATTTATTCCTACCTTGCACAATTAGAGAAAGTATGTGGATGCTCATACTGTGATCATATGATACTAGTTTGCCTCCTAGAATAATTCAAGGGCAGATAACTGTGGTGTTTCAGTGTGCTGGTATGGCTGTACCAGGAGCTCCAAATTTATTTGCTTTGTATTAAATCTTTGCTTGCAGTACTGGGTTTCAGGGACTCTGCAGATAGGTGGCTTCCTTTGGTTGCAGTCGTAGGGCAAGTCACCTGTCCATCATCGTTAAGTTTTGGTTCCGCCCCTTGCTCAGGGCAATTGGGAAGGGAAGGGAGCCATTTTTTAGTTAGTCTCAGCGAGGAAAGCTAATGTACAGGACGTGTGCAAGCTTCCCCTGTACAAAAGCTTCAACCCTTAAGACTTTCCAGAGGAAAACAGTCTTAAGAGCATCAAGACTTTCTGAGGGGAAACAGTCTTAAGATTGTTCTTAAGTCTTAAAATCTCCAAAGATTTCCAGGAAAACAGCCCTAAAGACCAAAGAACTCCAGCTGGAGAATATCTAAACCTTTCCTGGTAGGTCCACTCAGCGTTTGAGACGCAGTTCGACCCGGTAGCGGAGCCCACATCAGTAAGGGTTAGATTACAGTCAGCCTGGAAGAAGTTAAAAAGGGGATTTTCATTTAAAGTAAAGAAGAAGTTATTGAAGACAGTTGCCTGTCCTTCGTGGGCAAGATTAGAAAGCCACCAATTGCATAGAAGCCTGGAACCACTTGCTTAGCTTTATTGAAGACAAGAGAAGTTTCTGTTTGATTGTTCATTAATAAAAGACTTTGTTATACTTCACAAGCCATCTAAAGATCATTTGTGGTGGAAAACCTCTGAGAACTTTTCCCCTGGCTTCCCGCTGGGCAAACGTTGCACGTCCTGTTCTAAAGGAAATTCTTTACAGGCCCAGCACGCGACAGAACATTCAGATTCAATGTTATGCCCCTAGGACCTTCTGTGGCCATGTGGACTGGCTGAAAATGCTTCTCACTACTCAGAAGTGGCTAGAAGACCACAATGGGATATTTAAAACATATTCTGAAAAAGATAAAACAGTTTTTTGTGGTGGTGGTGGTGGTGGTGGTGGTAGGGGGGAGGGATGAATCTTGCTTGAAATCTGAATTGCATCCATATGAATTATGTCAAAGAAATGTGATATGTCCTCGTCTGTTGTTCTACAGATGGAAGACCAGTCTAACCCACCTTATGATGAAAGCAACATGATCCAGAGTATATTTGACCTCTTCTTGGGCGGGACAGAGACATCCAGCACCACCCTTTATTGGACATTGTTGTACATGGTGCTTTATCCAGACATACAAGGTAAGAGTGGAAGCAAAGACATTTGACTTTTGCTTGAATTGATGCAGGCACTAACTAGTAGCTACACAATTTCATTAGGATTCCACTTTAGATTTCATGGTTTCTTCCCAATGAAATCCAGCCCCATGTTTGGATTTTACTTGGACACTCTAAATGAATTCAAGTCCCCAGGGCCAGATTAACTACATCCAAGAGTATTGACGGAACTAGCGGAAGTCATCTCGGAACCACTGACAATTATCTTTGAGAGTTCTTGGAGAACGGGACAAGTCACAGCGGATTGGAGGAGGGCCAATGTGGTCCCTATCTTCAAGAAGGGAAAAAAGGATGGCCCAAACAATTACTATTTGGTCAGCCTCACATCAATACAAGGCAAGATTCTGGAAAAAATCATGAAAGAAGTGGTCTGCAAACACTTAGAAATGCAGTCATTGCTAATAGTCAACAGAGATTAATCAAAAATAAGTCATGACAGACTAATCTGATCTCTTTTTTGATAGAGTTACAAGCTGGGTAGATGCAGGGAATGTGATGGATGTAGCGTATCTGGATTTCAACAAGGTCCCCCATGACCTTCTGGCAAGGAAACTACTCCAATGTAGGCTAGGCAAAACTGCAGTTAGGTGGATCAGTAATTGGTTAAATGGACGAACACAGAGAGTGATTCTCCCCAAGGCTTCCTCTTCATCCTGGAAAGAAGTGATGGGTGGAGTGCCATCAGCAGGGTTCCCTCCTGGGCCTGGTCCTGCTCAAGATCTTGATTAATAGTTTTTTCCCAATTTGGATCTCCAGGTGTTATTGAAGTACAACTCCCATCACTTTTGATTATCCACCATGCAGACTGTGGATAATGGGAATCGTAACCACGCAGCACCTGTAGCTCTGAAATTGGGAAAAAGCCATTTGAAAGTCAGGCATCCTATCTACAAGCCTTGCATCTCAATTCAAACTTAACTATCCTGACTAAACAGAACTATAGATGTTACTACATCACAACTCCGCCTAGTCAAAGCCATGGTATTCCCTGTAGTAACCTACGGATGTGAGAGCTGGACCTTAGGGAAGGCTGAGCGAAGGAAGAGATGCTTTTGAGCTGTGGTGTTGGAGGAAAGTTCTGAGAGTGCCTTGGACTGCAAGAAGATCCAACCAGTCCATCCTCCAGGAAATAAAGCCCGACTGCTCATTGGAGGGAAGGATACTAGAGACAAAGTTGAAGTACTTTGGCCACATCATGAGAAGACAGCAAAGCCTAGAGAAGACAATTATGCTGGGGAAAGTGGAAGGCAAAAGGAAGAGGGGCCGACCAAGGACAAGATGGATGGATGGCATCCTTGAAGTGACTGGACTGACCTTGAAGGAGCTGGGGGTGGTGACGGCCGACAGGGAGCTCTGGCGTGGACTGGTCCATGAGGTCATGAAAAGTCGGAGACGACTGAACGAATGAACAACAACAAACATCACAACTTCCACTAACTCTGCTCATGATGTCTAATGATGAGGAGTATAGGAGTTGGAGGGCCACATAAAATGACTTGGTGAGTTGGATTTGACCTGTGAGCCTTGAGTTTGAGGCATGTGAGCTGAAGAGGTTGTACCTGTGGAATAGCTGCTGAAGTCATTAAGCAGCAATGAAATCCTCTTCTATACACACAAGTGCCAAGCTTTGGTATCAAAGAGCATGCTAGGACTCGGCCCAGTCCTAGCTCAAAAGACAACTTATGTGCGCCTCCTAATAAATATTATGCTTGTTTCTTCTCAGCCAAAGTTCAGAAGGAAATAGATGCAGTCATAGCTCCTGGGCAAACGATCTGCTACGAAGACCGCAAGAGCTTGCCTTATACCAATGCTGTGATTCACGAGAGCCAGCGTTTCAGCAACATTATAGCCATTGGCCTGCCCAGGTTATGTGTGAAGGATACAATGATCCGACAATTTTCAATTAAAAGGGTAAATAGTTCTTTTCCAGTCTTTCTTCTGTTGTTTATTTATATGTCAACATTTTCGAATGCTCCCTTTCTTTTGTAAAAAACACATACCAAAGGTGATCATAATTAAAAACCAGGTACACCGAAACCAAAAGAATAGAGAGAAGAGGGAAAATAGCAAAATGTGAAGAACAATAAAATACACCTGAAAAGCCCCAATCTTTTTTATATGCTTCCCAAAAGCGGGAGAAACAGAGTTATGATCTGGAAAATGATCCATCATAATGAGTCTACCTAATCTCCATGGGAAGATGTTTCCAAAAGTGGAAGCCACTACTGAGGTGGCCTTTCTTCTCACCAGAAACAAGTGAGCTTCTCTAGACTGCAGTATTTGCTTCCCCTTAGAATATAAAGGTGGGATGTTCTATACAATAGAAAACAATCTCTCAAATTAGTTATTATTATTTTATTATTTGCTTTATGTATACTCTGCCTTTCTCCCTGAGAGGGATCAAGGTGGTTAACAACCACAGATTAGGGCTGGGCGGTTTTGTTCGTTAATTTCGTAATTCGTTATTGATTCGCATTTAAATTAGCTTACGATCCGATATTGAACCATTCAGGAGCAACTAAAAATCGAAACGAATTTTTCAATTCATTTCGTAATTGTTTCGTAATTGTTTCGAAATCGTTTCGAAATTGTTTCGTTATTATTTCCGTATGTCTGGTGCAAGTTTTATAGTTGTTGTTTGTTTTATCAGTGATAAAAAAATAAATTATCACACCAACAGTCAACAACAGAGGGAGAGGGAAGCTTCAGAAGTTCCCCCTGTCCCATTTGGAGGTTTTTTTAGCATATTGCGCAATCGCGTCCGCCATTAACGAATCGATTCGTAATTGTTTCGTAATTTCCGAAATTTCGTATATTTCGAACTTTTTTAAAGAAAAATTTCAGAATTCTTTTAAAAAACAAAACGCAAAAAACCCCTAAAAACGAATCGAGTTTAGAAACAAATTTTTCTGTGGTTGCCCAGCCCTACCACAGATGGCTTGGATCTGAATTCAAGACAGCCTCATAAGCCAGAAGTAAATCCTTGGAGTGGACTGAAGTTTAATTGGTAACCTGTGTAGCTCCTTAAGTGCAGATCTCAGATGTACATGATCCAAGTAAGCCAGGTTGCCATATTCAATACCAGTTGCAAACTCCAAATCAAGTATAAGGATGGTCCCACATATAGAGTGGGACTGTCTATCAAGGAGATATGGCACAAAATTAAGAAATTGTTGTTCTAGAGCGCCTTATTTTTTAAAAAAAAAATGTCTGAAGCTGTGATGACTAAACTGAGACTGTGATATTTTGACCATTACTTTACTTAGACAATCCCTCGTAGCTGAGGATGATGGTCCTCCAAGTGTAGTGTCTTGGTGGTGGGTCCATAGGTGGCTGTGGAGATCTATTCTTGATCTGCATGTTCTTCTGCAGTGAGGACATCAGTTTCCAGGTGGAAGGTGGTCCCAGTCAGGGATGGCTTGATGTACCTTCCTCTTGGCACATTTCTCCCTTTTGCTCTCCATTTGTGCCTCTTCAAATTCTGCAGCACTGATGGTCACAGCTGACCTACAGTTAGAGTGCTCAAGGGCCAGGGCTTCCCAGTTCTTGATGTCTATGCCACAATTTTTAAGGTTGGCTTTGAGCCCATCTTTAAATCTTTTTTCCTACCCACCAACATTACTTTTTTCTGTTCTTGTGTTGGGAGCATAGTTACTGTTTTGGGAGATGGTGATCTGACATTCAGACAATGTGCCCAGTCTAGCGAAGTTGATGGTGTAGGAGCATCGCTTCAGTGCTGATGGTCCTTGTTTCTTCCAGCATGCTGACATTTGTCTGCCTGTCTTCCCAAGAGATTTGTGGGATTTTTCAGAGGCAGAGCTGATGGAATCGTTCCAGGTGCTGAGAGTGACATCTGTAAACAGTCCACATTTTGCAGGCATATAGCAGAATTGGGAGGACAATAGCTTTATAAACAAGCACCTTGGTATCTCTACAGATGACCCAATCCCCAAACACTCTCTGCTTCATTCGGAAGAATGCTGCACTTACAGAACTTTGATCATATCATGAGAAGATATGACTAGAAAAGACAATTAGTAAAGCAGAAGGCATTTGGAAAAGAGGAGGGCCAAATTCCAATCGGAAGAGTCAACCAAAGAAGATACAAATGCTCTGCATCTATAAAACTGGAGCAGGGCAGTAGATAATAGCGTGACTCGGAGGTTTCTCCTTCATAGGGTCACCATATATTTAAGTCAACTTCGCAGCAACAATAATAACTGAAGATACAACCAAATGTATACAACACAAAATGAGCTAAGTCTGCAATATATAACATGAAGTACACATGGCTCTGCTTTGTTGACATTCTGCATTGGACAAAGAAGGCAATTTCCTTCTGAAGGGGAACTACTTTGTCCAATGCAGTTGGTGACTTATGATATATGGATATAGTTGTATTACTGAAGTCTAGTACTGAGTATCCCGTAGTGTGCATTGTTGAATTATTAGGTGCTCCTTGTCACTGAGATCGAGATCAACCCAAGAGGGTCTGGGAATATGTGGAGGACTGCTGAAAAACCTTAATTATTTGTTGTATCTTTTTGCAGGGTACTGTCATTTTCCCAAACATAGCTTCTGTCTTGCATGATCCCAAAGAATGGGAGACACCTCTCCAGTTCAACCCAGGCCACTTCCTTGACAAGGATGGGAATTTTATCTGCAGAGACGCCTTCATACCATTTTCTTTAGGTACCTGAGCAAATTATTACATTCTCTTTGAGTCTTTGAAATTTCCAAAAATTGGTAACATTTTGATTTGCTACCTTTTAAGGATATTTTTTCCCCAAAATGGTCTTGTGTGCTACTCTTTTTTTAGTCGTGTCAGGAGCAAGTCGCTTCTGGAGTGAGAGAATTGGGTGTCTGCAAGGACGTTGCCCAGGGGACGCCTGGATGATTTGATGTTTTTATCATCCTTGTGGGAGGCTTCTCTCATGTCCCCGCATGAGGAGCTTGAGCTGATAGAGGGAGCTCATCCACCTCTCCCCGGATTCGAACCAGCGACCTGTCGGTCTTCAGTCCTGCCGGCACAGGGGTTTAACTCACTGCACCCCCGAGGGCTCCTGCTTTTCTTTTGATGACCTATCACATTCTCAAAGAATGCATTTATCTAGGCAAGTGAGGTTTATATATCTGTGAATGCATTCCACAGATATATAAACCTCACTTGCCTAGTTTCCAACAAACCTCTCAACCTCTGAGGATGCCTGCCATAGATGTGGGTGAAAGGTCAGGAGAGAATGCTTCTGGAACAAGGCCATATTGCCTGGAAAATTCACAACAACCCAGTGATTCTGGCCATGAAAGTCTTCAACAACATATTTCATTTATTTTGCTTGCATTTAGTCATTGTCTTTCAACCTAATGCACTAAATAGCTGATCAATAATTTAAAGATTGATAAAAAAATCAATCATTTATAATGTATTGTCGAAGGCTTTCATGGCCGGAATCACTGGGTTGTTGTAGGTTTTTTTCGGGCTATATGGCCATGGTCTAGAGACAATCTCTCCTGACGTTTCGCCTGCATCTATGGCAAGCATCCTCAGAGGTAGTGAGGATGCTTGCCATAGATGCAGGCGAAACGTCAGGAGATAATGCCTCTAGACCAGTGTTTCTCAACCTTCCTAATGCCGCAACCCCTTAATACAGTTCCTCATGTTGTGGTGACCCCCAACCATAACATTATTTTCATTGCTGCTTCACAACTGTGATTTTGCTACTGTTATGAATTGTAATGTAAATATCTGATATGCAGGATGTATTTTCATTCACTGGACCAAATTCGGCACAAATACCCAATACATCCAAATTTGAATACTGATAGGGTTGGGAAGAGGGATTGATGTTGTCATTTGGGAGTTGTAGTTGCTGGGATTTATAGTTCACCTACAATCAAGGAGTATTCTGAACTCCACCAATGATAGAATTGAACCAAACTTGGCACACAGAACTCACATGACCAACAGACAACACTAGAAGGGTTTGGTGGGCATTGACCTTGAGTTGTGGAGTTGTAGTTCATCTACAGCCAGAGAGCACTGTGGACTCAAAACAATGATGGATCTGGACCAAACTTGGCCTGAATATCAATATGCCCAAATGTGAACACTGGTGGAGTTTGGGGAAAATAGACATTGACATTTGGGAGTTGTAGTTGCTGGGATTTATAGTTGACCTACAATCAAAGAGCATTCTGAACTCCACCAAAGATAGAATTGGGCTAACTTTCCCACACATACTTCCACGATCAATAGAAAATGTTGTTTTCTGATGGTCTCTGGCGACCCCTCTGACACCCCCTCATGACCCCTCCAGGGGTCCTGACCCACAGGTTGAGAAACACTGCTCTAGACCATGGCCATATAGCCCGAAAAAACCTACAACAACCCAATCATTTATAAGTTTGTATTTATTGCGCTTCTCCAAATAGAGAAAATATGCTGGGGGATAGAATTCTTTTTTAAATATCCAAATGACATTTTTGCATTCTGAATTACTTTCTGACAATCCTGGAACTGGCTGCAATATTTTATTCCCATCTTCAATGGGTGTCTTTTGAACTTGGAGAAATATTGGTGCTGATGAACCTTCCATGTTTTGTCCCTCTTGCTTCTTCCCTGCCCTGCAATATTTTCTTAGATTTGTAGTCTACCTGTAAAACGTAGCAATTCTAAAGCATAATTAATAAGAGAATGGAGTAAATTGGCATTCGAAGCCATGGCCACAGAGATCCTAAGAAGAGTCTTAGTGTAAATCCAAGAAATCATGGCAAAGACCGCCTTTCAAGAACTTAATTATTTATTTATTTGTCGTGTCAGGACAACCAGTCAAATTATTACATTTCTAACAGAACAAAGCAAACAAACAGACAAAATACAACATTTGTGAGTTTGGTAGTTGATTAAATGTCCTTTGACCAGTATCTGGCCACTTGGAGTGCCTCTGGTGTTGCTGCAAGAAGGTTCTCCATTGTGCATGTGGCAGGGCTCAGGGTGCATTGCAGCAGGTGGTCAGTGGTTTGCTCTTCTCCACACTCGCATGTCAAGGATTCCACTTCGTGGCCCCATTTCTTGAGGTTGGTTCTGCATCTCGTAGTGCCAGAGCGCAGTCTGTTCAGCACCTTCCAAGCTGCCCAGTCCTCTGTGTGCCCAGGGGGGAGTCTCTCATTTGGTATCAGCCATTGGTTGAGGTTCTGGGTTTGAGCCTGCCACTTTTGGACTCTCGCTTGCTGAGGTGTTCCAACAAGTGTCTCTGTAGATCTTAGAAAACTATGTCTAGATTTAAGTCGTTGACGTGCTGGCTGATACCCAAACAGGGGATGAGCTGGAGATGTCACTGCCTTGGTCCTTTCACTATTGGCTGCTCCTTCCCGGTGGATGTCAGGTGGTGCAATACCGGCTAAGCAGTGTAATTTCTCCAGTGGTGTAGGGCGCAGACACCTCGTGATTATGCGGCATGTCTCATTAAGAGCCACATCCACTGTTTTAGTGTGGTGAACGGAATGAGTGGATATCAAAGGGACAACAACTGGCAAAACTTGGCAGAACCCAGGGAGTTATGACTGATGTTACATTGCAGAATTAATGCAGTTTGACAACACTTTAATTGCCATGGTTCAGTGCTATGGAATTCTGGGAATTGTAGCTTGGTGAGGCACCAACACTCCTTGACAGAGAAGGAGGAGGAACTCAAAGACTACAACTCCTACTATGCCATTTTGCTGAGAACAAGCAAGGGGGAAATAGAAGATTCAGGTAAATAAGGAAACTGATAATTTTATTTTTAGCTTAGAGTTTTCTGGATGATTTGATTCTTATTCTCTGTCTCACCCTTTCTGCAGGGCATCGAGTGTGCTTGGGAGAAAATCTAGCAAAGACAGAGATGTTCCTGTTCTTCTCCAATCTTCTGCAGGCGTTCACCTTCCACTTGGCAGAAGGAACCAAAAATGTGAACACGACACCTGTTTGGGGGGGAACTTTGCAGCCTCACTATTTTGAGATCTGTGCTATTCCTCGCTAGCCCTTGCATGTTGTGGTTCCATGTGCCTGTGTTAGTATGGCCAGAAAGATGAAGAGACACTTGAGATTTCAGGGCCAAAACTAGGAATCTGGCAATGCCACCTGAGGTGGGCTCCAAAGACATTAGAGATGGTAGCCCCAAAGGAGGTTTCAAGGGGGCAGGACCTGGTGAGGGCATTCAGCTTCATCAACCACAGCTGTTCTGGAATACAACAAAAGGACAAGAAGTTTCGCAAATGGGAAATAAATATCTAAGTGCTGGTTAAGTCTTTCATGTTTTGCATTGACACATGGAACCATGTTCTAGCTACTTTCCAGGTGCATCTACACCGCAAAATCAACTCAATTTTAACTGCCATGGCTCAATATTATGCAATCCCAGCACTCTTGAGCAGAGAATGATGAACACTGGGTTGCTGTGAGTTTTCCAGGCTGTATGTCCATGTTCCAGAAGCATTATCTCCTGATGTTTCGCCCCCATCTATGGCAGGCATCCTCAGAGGTTGTGAGGATGATGAACACCTACAGTTCCCAAAATGCCATAGCATTATGTCATGAAAGTTAATAGTGAAGATGGGACAGCAGATAATAGAGATCAAGAGTGAAATCCCATTTACACAGGTTTAGATGTAACCAGGACCAAGTCTAAGAAAGTTTAATGGGATTTATAACTTAAATGTGGTAAGGATTGAACAAATCCAAATGGTGAGTTTTTCTTGTGGTAGAAAAGTGTTGGGGAATCTGAGCTGTTAGGATCAAAAATAACCCTCAGTTGGGGCAATTCCATCAAAAATATAGCTGAGTACCAGAAATAAACTCCATAACTAGCAAAAACTTATGTGTGGTGAGAAGGGATAGCCTTGCATTCCTTAGGATAGCTCAGGATTGCAGAGTCAGAACTTTGGTTCAAAAATATTTATTGAAGTAAAAAGAAATAGAAAAGTCTTGAAGCTCACTAGCTTATGAGATCTATTCTTCTAAAGGAGTTAAAAGGTAAAAAGTCTATGCAGCTACATTTTGCCTAGAGAGAGGCAAAATGTGTACTTACTTAGGTGATCCCTAGTAGCTCGAGGATGATGGTCTCCCAGATGTAGTGTCTTGGTGGTGGGTCCATAGGTGGCTGTGGAGCCCTACTCTTGATCCACATGTTCTCCTGCAGTGAGCACATCGGTTTCCAGACAGAAGGCGGTCCCAGTCAGGGTTGGCACTTTTCTCCCTTTCACCCTCCATTTGTGCCTCTTCAAATTCTGCAGCACTGCTGGTCACAGCTGACCTCCATTTAGCACTCAAGGGCCAGGGCTTCCCAGTTCTCGGTGTCTATGCCACAGTTTTTGAGGTTGGCATTAAGCCCATCTTTAAATCTCTTTTCCTGTCCACCAACATTCCTTTTTCTGGGTTTTTGTAGGTTTTTTCGGGCTATATGGCCAACAACAAACCTCACTACTTCTGAGGATGCTTGCCAAAGATGCAGGCGAAACGTCAGGAGAGAATGCCTCTAGACCACGGCCATATAGCCCGAAAAATCCTACAACAACCCAGTAATTCTGGCCATGAAAGCCTTCGACAATACATTCATATAATCATAGAATCATAGAATCAAAGAGTTGGAAGAGACCTCATGGGCCATCCAGTCCAACCCCCTGCCAAGAAGCAGGAATATTGCATTCAAAGAACCCCTGACAGATGGCCATCCAGCCTCTGTTTAAAAGCTTCCAAAAGAAGGAGCCTCCACCACACTCCGGGGCAGAGAGTTCCACTGCTGAACGGCTCTCACAGTCAGGAAGTTCTTCCTCATGTTCAGATGGAATCTCCTCTCTTGTAGTTTGAAGCCATTGTTCCATTGCGTCCTAGTCTCCAGGGAAGCAGAAAACAAGCTTGCTCCCTCCTCCCTGTGGCTTCCTCTCACATATTTATACATGGCTATCATATCCCCTCTCAGTCTTCTCTTCTTCAGGCTAAACATGCCCAGTTCCTTAAGCCACTCCTCATAGGGCTTTTTCTGTTCTTGAGTTCAGAGTAGGGTAACTGCTTTATGAGATGATGATTGGGCATTCGGACAACATGGCCAGTCCAGCAGAGTTGATGGCGGAGGAGCATTGCTTCAATGCTGGTGGTCTTTGCTTCTTCCGGCACGCTGACATTTGTCCGCCTGACTTCCCGAGATTTGCAGGATTTTTTGGAGGCAACACTGATGGAATCATTCCAGGAGTTGCGTGTGACATCTGTAGATAGTCCACATCTTGCAGGCGTATAGCAGGGTTGGAAGGACAATAGCTTTATAAACAAGCACCTTGGTATCCCTACAGATTTCCCGGTCCTCAAACACTTTCTGCTTCATTCAGAAAAAAGCTGCACTTGCAGAGCTCAGACGGTGTTGTATTTCAGTGTCAATGTTGACTTTTTGTGGAGAGGTGGCAAATGTGTATCCTCACAGGGGGAAAGAAAAGGAGAAGACTACAATGGTGGAGACCACCTGGCCTCTTCCCAAGGCAGTTTAAACTTAAAAGGAATTTCCCCCACAGCAATTCCATTACTATGTCATCAAAGGGGGAGGAGACAGTGGCTAGCAGTGAAGAGGAAAGACAAAACCCTTTTTGGAAACATCCATAGGAATGTGGGGGAAGGAATCCTTCATCTTAGCCCTCTCGCTAGTCTAGCTGCTCATTGAGGACTAGAAATTTGATGATAGAAAAAACTTATGCAGCCCAGGGATGAAATACAGCAAAAAGAAAGTAGAAAGAGTTGAACAAGAGGAACTGTGTGAACAAGAGAAAGTGAACAAATGGGCTTGAAAAACTTTCCTGGAAGGGAAGTATTTTGGCTTCTCTAAAAAAGTAATATAAAATGTAAACTGCAAAGATCAGGGGGATTAAGAGATATTTAGGTGATTTTTAACTTCTGATAAGCATACTGTGCTGTCGCACGATGGGCCTCTGCATAAGACTGTAGACAGGACATAAATTCGGAGTGCCCAACGGGATGCTGGGGCTGACTCAGATTAAAGGCCCTTGGATTCCCCCAAACAGAGTCTTTAGATTGCTTAAAGGTTCAACAAAGTTCTTTATTAATGAAAACAAACAGGTACTTCAAGGTTTTCTTAACAATCTATTGGCTCTCTCTCAATCTTGCCCACAGGAAACAGGCACTATCTTCATAACTGTAACTAATGAGAAAATCCTTAACTTCTAATCTGGGCAGTCTGTCTTTGCCTCTGTTGGCGTGGAGCCCCTGCACCCGGTACCAACTGCTTCTAGCTTCTGAGAGTGACCCTTACCAAGCAGAGCTTTGTAGACTTCCAGGGAAAAAGGAGTTCAGGTTTCAGTGATGGCTGGCTGAAGTCCCTCAGCAAAGGAGCTGTAAGGCTGTATGATCCTCGGCCAAGCTGTGGGCTGTATATCTCCCTGGCCAAGCCGTAGAAGACGAAGCTTTCTACAGGAGCTCTTGGTATTATGTCCTGTATGAAAGGCTTCTCTGTGTGGACTGAACCCAAATTGGCTCCTATTTCCTCCAAAACCCAAAAAAGGAGGCGGGACCAGGGAACCTAACTATAATTGACAGGTGGCTTGCCCTATGATTGCAGCCAAAAGAAGCCACCTATCTCCAGAGTCCCTGAAACTTAGGACTACAACAAACATTCAATGCAAAGCAAACAAAATTGGAGCTCCTGGTACAGCTGTACCTGCACACATACAGTTAGCTGAAACCATCTGTGTACATGAAGGAAAGTTTTAAAGACACTCTGCTGAGACTGAAGCTGACAGCAACATCTGGTGGTCAAAATAATTCATCACTGCAACCAGTGTATACATATATATATATTTTTACATTTAAAGGGACTGAAACAAATAGAGACATCTGGTGACCTCAAGAATTCATTGCAGGCAGTCATATCTTTTTTATCTTTTTAACATTTTCTAGTTGATGTTGTGTCTATGTCAGCCCTTGATCTAAGTGCAGTCCAGAGCATCAGGGTCTGTGAGGGCAGCCATACAGTTCAGCATCTTTATTACTGATTAGCTGTCCCCTTCCAAGTGTTACTGTGGCCTAGTCTGTGTATATGTGTTGTGTGTGCATATATGCATATATGTGTGTGTATATATTTGTGTATATGTGTATACATATGTGTGACTACACACACACACACACATACACACACACATACATCTATATAAATAAAAATGTAATGTTCGTTTGTGATACCATCAGAACTCAAAAACCACTGGGGGAATTGACACCAAATTTGGACACAAGACACCTAACAACCCAATGTATGTCCTCCACCCAAAAAAATTGATTTTGTCATTTGTGAATTGTCACTGCTGAGATTTATAGTTTACCTACAATCAAAGAGCATTCTGAACTCCACCAATGATGGAATTGGGCCAAACTTGGCACGAATATTCCATATGCCCAAATATGAACACAGATGGAGTTTGGAGGAAATAGACATTTGGGATTTCTAGTAATGTAATCAGAGCCATCCAGTCATAAATATAGATAGATAGATAGATAGATAGATAGATAGATAGATAGATAGATATGATTCTCTCTCTCACACACACAGATATAGTACCATAGATTTGAAAGAGACCCTTAAAGAAGGACTATGATATGTTGCATGTTTCAGAGTAGGCAAACCAGACAATCTCCACATCAACACTGACAAAGAAACTGCAAGAAATACTATTTACTCACAAGCATAAAGACATTACATATATTAGAAACCAACACTTTCTCATTACTTTATTTTCCAGATCACCAGACTGGGCCACAGCAACACGTGGCAGGGGACAGCTAGTATCTATATAAATAAAAATGTTCATTTGCGGCATTCACAGAACTCAAAAACCACTGGACGAATTAATACCAAATTTGGACACAAGACACCTAATAACCCAATGTATGTCCTTCACTCAAAAAAAATGATTCCGTCCTTTGGGAGTTGTAGTTGCTGGGATTTATAATTCACCTACAATCAAAGAACATTTTGAACCCCACCAACGATGGAATTGAACCAAACTTGGCACACAGTTCTCCCATGACAAACAGAAAATACTGGAAGGGTTTGGTGGGCAGTGTCCTTTGGTTTTGGAGTTGTAGTTCACCTACATCCAGAGAGCACTGTGGACTCAAACAATGATGCCTCTGGACCAAACTCTACACGAATACTCAATAGCCCAAATGTGAACACTGGTGGAGTTTGGGGAAAATAGAACTTGACATTTGGGAGTTGTAGTTGCTGGGATTTATAGTTCACCTACAATCAAAGAGCATTCTGAACTCCACCAATGATAGAATTGGTCCAAACTTCCCACACAGAACCCCACATGACTAACAGACAATACTGTGTTTTCTGATGGTCTTTGGTGACTCCTCTGACACCCCTTTGTGACCCCTCCAGGGGTCCCGACCCCCAGGTTGAGAAACACTGCTCTAGGGGGTTTTAAGCTCAACCTCTACAACTAAGCACAAATGGAAAAGTCCACAACAAAGGGAGAACAAAACAAGGGAGTGAAACAGAGGAGGGAAAAAGGCTAGGCGAAGACATTACACCATCTCTCAGGGGTGCTTTGATTGTGCTTTTCCTGTATGGCAGGGAGTTGGACTAGATGTCCCACGTGATCTCTTCCAACTCTAACCTACCAACTGTTGGAAACCGGGGTCAAGAAGAACATCTATGTCTCCGTAACCAGATGCAAAATGATGACATTAATTGCTGTGAACTATGGAGGACTCCAGTGGATCTCTGCAGACAATGTAATCATTTTGTGTCTAGCTACAGAGTAATATATGGAATCAATCTGATGACAGAGGTAGCATGGCGCAGTAGTTTGAATGTTGATGCAGGAGTCTGGGGTTCAAATCCCAATTTTAGCCATAGAAACCCATTGATCTTGGGCAAGTCCCAGGTCCCATCAACACTGATCATTTCATGCAGTTCAAAGCTAGCTTCAAAATGCAGTGGCTAGACAACAAAGTTCCAAGAAAGTGCACAAAAGAAAGCCCTTGATGTGCACCATTGCTCTGTAGTTAGATTGTGTAATCATAACCTCTCCTGAACAAACCTTGCAAGGAAAAGCTTATAGTAGGTTTTACTTGCGGTCAACATATATTATGGAAGGCACACAATGCATGTGACATGGAATCATAGAATCATAGAATCAAAGAGTTGGAAGAGACCTCATGGGCCATCCAGTCCAACCCCATTCTGCCAAGAAGCAGGAATATTGCATTCAAATCACCCCTGACAGATGGCCATCAGCCTCTGTTTAAAAGCTTCCAAAGAAGGAGCCTCCACCAAACTCCGGGCAGAGAGTTCCACTGCTGAACGGCTCTCACAGTCAGGAAGTTCTTCCTCATGTTCAGATGGAATCTCCTCTCTTGTAGTTTGAAGCCATTGTTCCATTGTGTCCTAGTCTCCAGGGAGGCAGAAAACAAGCTTGCTACCTCCTCCCTGTGGCTTCCTCTCACATATTTATACATGGCTATCATATCTCCTCTCAGCCTTCTCTTCTTCAGGCTAAACATGCCCAGCTCCTTAAGTCGCTCCTCATAGGGCTTGTTCTCCAGACCCTTTATCATTTTAGTCGCTCTCCTCTGGACACATCCCATTAAATATCTTTGCACAACAATAAAATGACAGATGATTGTATAGTTATACGTAAGGAGCTTTATTATTTTAATTTTCCTTGTGATGAATCAGAGCGGGGAATAGCACAGATTTTATAAGGCTGTGGGTGGAATGTGAACCCTAAGACAGGCGCCTCGGTCATTTTGCTGGCTTCTTCTGGAAACTGGAACCTGAATGCCCTCATCAGGTGAGTAAAGAAAAGGAAGAGCTCCATCCGTGCCAACTGCTCCCCTGGGCACACTCGAGTACCTGCGGATAAGGGAAGAGGAAGAGAGAAAACAGCAGGTGAAAAAAAATCTCGTCCCCAGTGCGTATATTTGGTTCGGCAGCATTATATTAACTTAAAATGTCACTTCAACATTGAGAAATTAAAGGTTTTGGTATCCAGTGAAAAAAGGCAGGCAACTTTACCAAGAGCATGCAAACACAGCAAATACAGATGGAGGTGCCTATATATGGCTCGGCAGCATTATGAGGGTTGAATGAAAAGTAATGCCTCCACCTTCGTTACTTGGGTTTGGATGGGAATATTTTAATAAATCAAACGCAGAAATAATCCTTAGAATGTGCTCTTTAACTATCACTATTCACTTTTCCACATAATCACCAGACAATTGGATACATTTCTGCCAACGATGAAGAAGTTTTCTGAAGCTGTCATGGAAGAAGTTGACACTCTGTTTCCGCAACCAGCGTCTCACAGTTCTCTCAATGTACCCATCGTGCACAGATCTTTGGATAGCCAAGCAAAGCAATAATGTGACCCACACATTCTTGTGAAATGCTGATTATGCTTGAAATTTCTCTCTGAGTGATATGATGATTGTCCTGAATCAATCTGTCAACATTTTACTTGGGAAACTCGGTGGTTGCTGTCACAGGACATCCAACTCTTTGTTTGTCATGCAGGTCAGATGTTCCCACCTCAACATCTTTAAACCTACTCACCCAACGATGCACAGTACTCACATCAACACAATCACCATAAACAGCTTGGGAAGGAAGATTCTCTGATGAATCTCCTTTGGGGTGACACCTTCTGCTCTCTAGAATTCAATGACTGTACGTTGCTTAAGTCGAATTGACCAACTGTCTGCGCAGGGTTCCATACTTCACATTTTAACAACACAACCATTCAATGCTAAGGCTTGCCACCAAAATGGAACTGTAGGGGAGAGTCTACTGAACAAGCCAGTACCTGCCGCATACTAGGTACTGCCATCTGTTGAGTTACGAAGGTGAAGGCATTACTTTTCATTCAGCCCTCATACATTTATTTTAAATGTGACTTCAACATTGAGGAATTGAGAGTTTAGGCAACCAAAGAGAAATGGCAGGCAAAATTATCAAGTGCATGCAAACATAACAAATACAGACTGAATATTCCATATATAAAAAAAGACATGATGATGTTTTATTTATTTATCGTATCAGAAGCAAACCAAAGATACAGTTGAAAATGTATTTAAAAAACACAAAGTTTAAAAACTTGGCATTATATTAAATGTCCTTTGACCAGAAGCTGGCCATTTGGAGTGCCTCTGGTGTTGCTGTAAGAAGGTCCTCCATTGTGCATACCACCCCCTCCCCACCCAGAACTTGGAAGCTCAAGTGCCTTGTATAAAGAGCTTATGTAAAGGAACTTCATTCACATGAATTCAGCATAGTCCACCCATTCCTTTCCATCACTCCACGCACATCCCAGAGGCAATTGCCATGTGTGCAAGCCTCAATTGCATTTACCTGCTCCAAATGCCAGAAATTCTTCTCTAACCACGAAATGTCCATCCTTATCTAAGAAGTGATTGGGGTTGAATTCTCTAGGTGTCTCCCACTGCTTGGGATCAAGAAATACTGAGGCCAGGTTTGGCATGATACAGGTCCTCTGAAACAAACAAACAAATGGGGATCTCAGGATGCAAGCAGCTCAACACACTTCAACATTGCGTAAGGTACTGGCAATGGATCTGTTGGTGCAGGAAATCAGCTTTTGATTTGACTACAATCTTCTCACAAATGGCACGGGTGCCATCACGCCTGGGAATGTTGCAAGGTCTAAATGTGTTATACTGTGTCTGTGATTGTTATCACAGTTTTATTGTTTCATTGGTTTTTAATTCTATTGTTATATGTTGTTGATTTGATAAGTGATGTTATGCGTAAGGCATTGATTTTGACATTGATTATGCTGTGAACCGCTTTGACCCCCGTGAGAAAGGCAGGATATCAGTGCAATAAATAAACAAACAATAAATCACCTTCATGACTTCTTCAGAAGTTTGGTAACAGTTGATTGCCTGTACAGATCACAGGAGCAGTTGCAAGAGGAGTGACATTTGCTAGCTCCACCAGTTACTCTTTCCATCTCAGCAATAAAAACATACATAAGATCTTCTTTGTACTGTAGAGCCAATGTGTACTGGTTTCGACATAGGACTATGACTCTGGAGACCAGGATCTGCATCTTTGCTTGGCCTTGGAAACCCTGTGGATGACATTGGCTAAGACTCCCTCCCTCAGTCTTAGAGAAAGGCAAATCTCCTCTGAACAAATTTGGCAAAGAACCCCCTGTAATATATTGTCGAAGACTTTCATGGCCATGGTTGTTGTAGGTTTTTTGGGCTGTACGGCCATGTTCTAGAAGCCTTCTCTCCTGATGTTCCACCTGCATCTATGGCAAGCATAATAATAATAATAATAATAATAATAATAAGCTTTATTTGTACCCCGCTACCATCTCCCCAAGGGACTCAGTGCGGCTTACATGAGGCCGAGCCCACAATACAACAAAAACAATAGCAACAGTAATACAAAACAATAAATAAACTCATAAGCAGAAAATAAGCAATAAACATTAACAATAACACGATGACGTTTAAAAACCTATGGCTGGGCCAAATGTAATAATTAAAAATTTTAAAAATAATGCTGGGCATGACAAGGTGACATATAACTAGGATAGAAGTTTTGGAGAGGGATGAAATGTGCAGACAAACCTAGATCACTAATAAAGTGCGTTTAGGGACATATTGCTAGGAGTTTCCTTATTCTGGGAGGGCACACTGGAACAACCACGTTTTCAGGCTCCTCCTAAAGACTGCCAGAGTTGGGGCATGCCTAATGTCCTTGGGGAGCGAGTTCCAGAGTCGAGGGGCCACCACCAAGAAGGCTCTCTCTCTCGCCCCACCAATCGCGCTTGCGATGGTGGTGGGAGTGCGAGCAGGGCCTCTCCAGATGATCGAAGAGATCGTGTGGGTTCGTACACAGAAAATGCGGTCACACAGGTAGGCGGGTCCCAAACCATTTAGGGCTTTGTAGGTAAGAACCTGCACCTTGAATTGGGACCGGAAAATGAACGGCAGCCAGTGGAGCTCCTTAAACAGAAGGGTTGACTGCTCCCTGTAAGGAGCACCAGTTAACAACCTGGCCGCCGCTCATTGAACCAATTAAAATTTCTGGGCTGTTTTCAAGGGTAGCCCCACGTAGAGTGCATTGCAGTAGTCCAATCTGGAGGTGACTAAGGCATGTACCACCCTGGCCAGATCCGCCTTCACGAGGTACGGTCACAGTTGGCGCACGAGTCTTAATTGTGCAAAGGCCCTCCTGGCCACCACCGATGCCTGAGCATCCTCAGAGGTTGGAGCTCATCCTCTATGGCAGGTATCTTAAGAGGACCCCACAACCTCTGAGGATGCCTGTTACAGATGCAGGCGAAACATCCAGAGAGAATGCTTCTAGAACATGGCCATACAGCCCAAAAAACGTACAACTAGGGCTGGGCAACCACGGAAAAATTTGTTTCTAAACTCGATTCGTTTTTTGGGTTTTTTTGCGTTTCGATATTTAAAAGAATTCCGAAATTTTTTTTTAAAAAGTTCGATATTTACGAAATTTCGTAAAATTACGAAACGAATACGAAATGAATACGAAAAATAACGAATCGATTCGTTAATGGCGGACGCGACCGCGCAATACGCTAAAAAAAACCTCCAAATGGGACAGGGGGAACTTCTGAAGCTTCCCTCTCCCTCTGTTGTTGACTGTTGGTGTGATATTATAATTTTTTTCACTGATTAAACAAACAAAAGCTATAAAACTTGCCCCAGACGTGCGGAAACGATTTCGAAACGAATACAAAACGAATACGAAACAATTACGAAACGAATTGAAAAATTCGTTTCGTTTTTTAGATGCTCCTGAATGGTTCGTTATCGCTTCGTAAAAAAAAAAAAATAACGAATTTTTAACGAATTACGAAATTACGAAATGAAACCGCCCAGCCCTAACAACAACCCAACCCTGTAATAGATTTGCCATAGGGCCACCAGAAATTGGAAATTACTTGAAGGTCCACATAAATTTATTTATTGATTTATTTACGACATTTATATGTTGCCCTTCTCACCCCAAAGGGGACTCAGAGCGGCTTACAAGATATATAAATATTATATGTATATACAATATATTATATTATGTTATATTATATTATTAGAATTATAAGTTAAGATCGAAATCCAGTCTCATCATCCAATTGTTCCATATTCCTATGTTCGTTACACTGCCTATTCAAATGCCGTCTCGAACTACCAGGTCTTCACTTTCCTCTGAAATGTCAACAGGGAGGGGGCCGATCTAATATCTGTAGGAAGGGCATTCCACAGCTAAGGGGCCACCACTGAGAAAGCCCTGTCTCTCGTCCCCGTCAAATGTACTTGTGATGCAGGACCGAGAGCAGGGCCTCCCCAGACGATCTTAACACCCTAACTGGTTCATAGGAGGAGATACGTTCAGACAGTAGGCTTGGGTAACCACGGAAAAATTTGGTTCTAAACTCGTTTTGTTTTTAGGGGGCCCTTGCGTTTCGTTTTTTTTAATAATTCCGAAATTTTACTTTAAACATTTTTGAAATTTACGAAATTTCGTAAAATTACGAATCAATTCGTTAATGGCGGACGAGATTGCGCAATATGCTAAAAAAACCTCCCAATGGGACAGGAGGAACTTCTGAAGCTTCCCTCTCCCTCTGTTGTTGACTGTTGGTGTGATAAAACAAACAACAACTATAAAACTTGCACTAGACATGCAAAAATAATTACGAAATAATTACGAATTAATTACGAAATAATTTCAAAATAATTTTGAAATAATTACGAAATAAATTGAAAAAATTGTTTCGAATCTTAATTACTCCTCACACTATTCCAGCATGGCTCAATATTGGATCGTAAGCTAATTTAAATACGAATTAATAACGAATTACGAATTTAACGAACGAAACTGCCCAAGCCTATCAGACAGGTATCTGCATCATCCCACATTCTCATTTGTTTGCATGGGTGCTCCATTCTAACATCACCAGAGGTTCCAGTGTCAGTCAGGAGCTTGGATGGAGCACCATGGTTGGTTAGGAGCAATAATGGTGCTGATCACAGAAAAGGCAAGAGACAGTGGGTCAGGCTGGATTTAGCCCGGTGGCAAGGCATGAAGACCCTGGTGGCAGCATGAAGTCTCTGGTGGCGCATACAGAGCAGGAAGGAGGAGAGGGAGTAGGGAGCGGAGGGCTGCGGGGCCCCCATGGAGCCTATGACTGGGCTTCACAGAGCCCTAAGGGCTTCATGGAGCACACTTTGTAGAACTGCTGCTCTTCAAAGTATCTCTTAATTTTGCCAAAGGTAGAGAAAAGTGAAAATCCCTAAGATTGTCATCATGGGTAGAGCCAGTGAACCAATCACATTGAGTATGGGGTTTTGGAGTTGTGTAGACAAGCCATAGGATTTCTTGACCTTCAGATACCTTTGAGGTGTACAAGAAGTACTTCTTTGTCCTTAAGATTTTGTATTATGTGGGAAGCTCTGGTATAGATATTAGATACGTCACTTAAAAGCTACACATGAGTTCTGATGGTTCAGATACCTTCAGATACCTTTGAGGTGTACAAGAAGTACTTCTTTGTCCTTAAGATTTTGTATTATGTGGGAAGCTCTGGTATAGATATTAGATACGTCACTTAAAAGCTACACATGAGTTCTGATGGTTCTTGGGATACAAGGGAGCAACTGTAGAACTTTACCTTGGGAATGGTATAACCATACATGTTCACATCTTTGGTAGTTCGCCTAACAATCCCAACAGGTAAGACATAATTTGCACGTAAGACCTCATGAATCACAGCATTGGTGTAGGGCAGTTTCTTCCGATCTTGATAGCAGATTGATTGAGAGGTACCCGAAACTTCCTCTATCTCCTCATAGACTTTATCTGAGGAGAAGAGTGAAATGTTAAAGATTATTTGCTTTCTTTCTCCAAAAATTAAGCATATTTATTTATTTATTTACAGTATTTATATTCCACCCTTCTCACCCCGCAGGGGACTCACGGCGGATTATAATGTACATATATATATGTTCTGTCACGCTCTGGGCCTGTGAAAGAGTCTGTAGATAGGATGTGTTTTCTGAATGCCCAACGGGACACCGGGGGTGCCTCGGCTGAGAGGCCTTTCGGATTTCCCCACACAAAGTTCCTTTAAAGACTTAGAAAGTTCAACAAAGTTTTTATTGTTGCTTATATCTTCAATAAATCAAACAAATACTTCAAGGCTTTGAATCAACTGGTGGCTTGCTTAAATCTTGTCCACAAGGGACAGGCAACTTTCTTCATAAACTGTTTCTTCCTCCTACAAGGGAAATCCTTGACCCCTCCCTGGGCAATCTGACTTAAGCTCTGCTGGCATGTGCCCTTACACCCGGTCCAAATTGCTTTATGGCTGCCGTGAGCGGTCCTTACCAAATAGAGTCCTTTAGTAGATTTCCAAGAGGAAAGAAGGCTTTCAATTCCCAGCGAAGGCTGGATGTAGAGTTGTGGAGCTAATTACAGATAACTAGGCTATGCTCTAGTTATCTGTAGAGCTGTGGGACTGGATCCCTCCAGCAAAGCTGTAAAAGATGAAGCTTTCTACAGATGGAACTGATTCACGTCTCTGTGTGAACTGAACTAGAGGTCCCCCTTTTCCTTCCTTAACCCAGAAAAAGTGGCTAAAAAACATAATGATAATTGATAGGTCATTGGCCCTATGATTGCAAACCAAGGGAAGCCACCTTATTGCAAAATGCATGGAACTTTGGAATACATGCAAACACTCAATAGAAAGGAAAAGAAGTTGGAGCTCCTGGTACAGCTGTACCAGCACAATATACATGGCAAACATTCAATGCTATAAACACATAAAATATATAGACAGATACACAGAGGCTATTTAACATTCCAGCTTTTTCATGAGGGTATTCTGGCCACCAGGGGAGCTGTCGCTCCACTATCCATTTGTGACACTGATGAAGTACTTCCTCATTCTTTGCATGCTTGCTGGAAATTTTTATGGCGTCGTAAATTAACCTCCCCGCATAAGCGATGCCTAAATTTCCTATTTCACAAATGCAACTGTATTTCAGGCTGCAAAGGTTGACAGCAAGCTACACAAATTGGTCGGAAGCTCACTTTGACCCGGGCTGGCTTCGAACTCATGACCTTTTGGTCAGTAGTGATCTTATTGCAGCTGACTCCCAGCTAGCTGCGCCACAGTACCATATTTTCCACATTAAATAATTCTATTGAGCTAATTTGCCCCATGTATACTAGGATGACTGCATCCATGTCATGCAAAGTGGTATGGTATTTTTGTAACCCTATGAGAATTCCAATGTATGGTGGGATATGAGAATGCCCCATGTGCATGAAAAACTAAAGGTGTCCACCTGTACATCCAAAGCTAGACACAAAAGTGGAAGAAAAGTAGAATAAAATATGGCATAAAATGAAACAAAACATGGATATTTTTTGCCATAGCAAGTCATTATATGGCAATGAGGACTCAAGATAACCCAGTTCAAAGCAGATATTGTGGGTTATCTTGATATTCTGGGTTATATGGCTGCGTGGAAGGGCCCAAAGACTGTATCACAGACCAACAAACACAATCTGGGAAGTCATGGTCCCAAGTTTGCAAGACCTGAGCAGGTCAGTTGATAACAGGTTGTTGACATAGGAAGCGTATGTAAACCATTTCTGGTAGCAAGGGGAACTTCTTTCTTTAATATTTTACTTTTATTTTTAATATTCCACCTTCTGCCACTGATACACTTATACGTATACGTAGGCACCAGGCAATAATGCTGGTAAAGGGGGGAGAGAAGAATAAACCATGCAGAAACTCAGCAACTTGGGGTTCACACCTTGAAATACACTATCTCTGTCTCTGTATCACCTTACTTATATTTGTTTGTTGCAGAATTCAATTATAAATGTCTGTATATGTCTTTGTGATGTATAACACAATACTATATATAGTCAGTATGTAGCTTCAAGGTAATTTCCAGCTGACTTTCAGGAATGTATCTTCAATCTTGTAACTTGACACGAGACTTCAATATATTAGTTGAAACAAAGAAATGTTTATTTATGAATTCTTGAGCACATAAAACATATTTGTTACACAGTACTTTACTTCAGTTCCACTTGGATATTGTTACGTCTGTCTTTCACTCTTGTGAATACATAAAACTGATACTATATAACTTTCAGAATAGTATAACTTACGTCAACTTGGTTAGGAAACTTCCTTCTCTTTCAAATGTAATTCCTTCCCAGCCTTCTGACTGGATAACTTATATCTTATAGTCACTTCTTTCCATCAATATTCTGCCTGCAACTTATTCTCAAAGAACTCTCTGTCTCCCAGTTCCACCTGACTGAGGACTTAGACACAAATCAGTATCTTATTACTTCAGTACCACAACTGAAGGCATAATCCTATACAAGGATCTTCTTCCCTCTAGCTCAGTAACTAAAGATTAATCCAAAATGGTCCCTTTATTACTTTAGTATCATGGTTGAAGACTCAAACTTAAACTAGGAACCTCTTCCCTCTAGCTCCCCTGGCTAGAGAATGACTCATTTTTAAAATATCCCTTCTCTTCTTCTTAGTTAGCTCCGCCCCTTTTACCTACTAGCCACTCTAAAATGGATACATTTCTGCTGCAGAGGCTCCACAACCATGGCGATGCATCGACCAATCATATGCAGCCAACTCCGTCCTGCCCTTATCATAATATTAACATTAATAAACATAGACAAATCCTCCTTTATAATTAGTCTTTCCATTACACATGTTAACTTGGGAAGGTCTTTCATTCATAGGTTTGCCAGAAGTCAAAATAGACTTGATGTTAGTTAACAACAGAGTCTTTATCTCCTGGGGCACATCTGCACTGTAAAATGGATGCTTTTGACACCATTTGAACAGCCATAACTCAATGTTATGGGATCCTGGGATTTATAATTTGGTGAGGTACCAGCATTATTTGGCAGAAAAGGCTATAGACCTTGTAAACCTACAACTCCCATGATTCCATAGTCTTCTGCATAGCAATAAACAGAAACTCACTTACTTTGAAGAACATTTCATTTGTTCAGCGCAAAAATATTGGTGATTAGAGATGGAGAATGTGGCAATAATTTCTTTACTCTTGGTTTTCTCAATTTGACAACTGTAGATAGCTGCAAATATTTCTCCTAGAAGTCTTGCAATCATTACAACAAACCACCAAAGCATCCAACAAGTAAAGAAAGCTCCTTGCTCCATTTACACAGGGCTCCCTCACCTTGGATATCTGGATGACTTGCCATGCGGAACAGTGCCCATTGCAGAGCACTGCCAGTAGTTTCTGTTCCTGCAGCAAGGAACTCAAGGATACACTGAGCCAGATTGTCTTCATTATAAGTAGAGTTAGGATCATTCTTGGTCTGTTGTTGAGAAAAGAAATGATTATTTCCCCCCTCAAATGCATTGCATACTCAAAACTAACTCCTCTCCTTTATGAAGAGTCATTCTAAATAAGTGTTTCTCAACCTGGGGGTCGGGACCTCTGGGGGGGTCGTGAGGGGGTTTCAGAGGGGTCGCCGAAGACCATCAGAAAACACATATTTCTGATGGTCTTAGGAAACCCTTTGGAATAGTTGTTTGGGTTCACAGTGCTCTCTGGATGTAGATGAACTATATCTCCCCTAAATCATGGTCAATTCATCCCGAATCCCTCCAGTGTTTTCTGTTGATCATGGGGGTTCTGTGCAGGAAGTTTGGCTCAATTCTATTGGTGGATTTCAAAATGCTCTTTGATTGTAAGTGAACTATAAATCCCAGCAACTACAACTCCCAAATGTCAAGGTCTATTTCCTCAAGCTCCACTAGTGTTCACATTTGGGTACGCTGAATATTCATGCCAAGTTGGTCCAAATCTATCATTGTTTGAGTTCACAGTGCTCTCTGGATGTAGGTGAACTACAACTTCCAAATTCAAGGTCAATTCCCACCAAAACCTTCCAGTATTTTCTGTTGGTCGTGGGAGTTCTGTGTGTCAAGTTTGGTTCAAGTCCGTCGTTGGTGGAGTTCAAAATGCTCTTAGATTGTTGGTAAACTATAAATCCCAGCAACTACAACTCCCAAATGACAAAAATCAATCCTCCCAACCCCACCAGTATTCAAATTTGGGCATATCGTGTATTTGTGCCAAATTGGGTCCAGTGAATGAAAATACATCCTGCATATCATATATTTGCATTACAATTCAGTTATGACATAGCAACAAAAATAATTTTCTGGTTGGGGGTCACCACAACATGAGGAACTGTATTAAGGGGTCACAGCATTAGGAAGGTTGAGAAACACTGTTCTAAATCTTCTGTATGCTATTTTGCAAAATGCAATGATTCAGACATGTGTCTCCAGAGGGAGACTAGCCACTTCATCACACGAGAGAGAAAAATCCACTTAAAATCCGGTTTTTGCCTCCTGCAGAATTCTGGGGTTTGTAGTTTAGTGAGGCTATTAAAGGCTCCTCCCTAAACTACAAATCTTAGAATTCTGCAGGAGGCAGAAACTGGATTTAAAGTGGATTCATTCTGTGATTAGGCACTTAGACCTAATAGAGGAATGGAATCAAATTGCAGGGAAAAAAAGGTTCAATTTAAACATGAGAAAGAGCTTGACAACAAGAGCTGTTCAATGGTGGAATCCACTATTACTCAAATTTACAGATGGCACCAATAGGGAAGGATGGTTAATACCCCAGAGAACAGGATCAAAATTCAAAATGACTTTAACAGATTAGGTGTTGAGGCCTGTGAAGCCTTGGAGGATGAGGACAAGGATTTTCTGGTTGAGCCTGTGGGGAAAAGCAATTTTTTTTAGACAATGGGAATGTTTTGGGCAGATCTGTTGTCGGGGAAACAGGTAATTATTTTCATGAGAATCGGCCAGGGATTGACTCTGAAAGGAATCTGGAAGAGATAAGAGGGTTACAGATAACCCAGCATTTACAGATCAGATGGGACAGTGCAAAACAGAGACATCTCAGTGTTCCCAGAGATAAACAAAGGGAACCCAGGTGTGAGAAAGGATGATGTTATGGACAAGAGGGAGTATTCTTAAGGAATCAGAGTCAATGTTCAGTGAGGAAATCAATGTTGGAATTTCATATGTCAAGTTGCCTGTCTTGTGAGCTCCGAGTTAGGAGTTCTGTTATTGGATTTGTATCTTGTTTTCCTGTTTAGATCCCAGGTCTCCTGTGTGATGGGGCAAGTGGCGCCACCTGTGTGTAGAACTTTAAAGTGCAAAGGTTTAAACTGTATAACATGCCCAAACTTGCTTAGTTTGTAAATGTATAGTTGGATTGATTGGTTATTTATAGCTGTCAATCAATGTTGTTTGCACCAGTTATATTGCTTCCTCAGCTCAATTGCTTGGCTCCACCTCTTCCTGGAGGAGGGCAGAGCTTTTCTTTTCCATTCTACCATCAAACTTTCTATCAGATAGACGTGAGAAAGAGACTTGGCTCTAAAGCCCTTAATTAAGTTACCTCTCATCACCAATTCTAAGGTTTTTACCCTTGGGACTCATACTTCATGTCTAGATCACCCTGGACAACGTTGAGGAGACCCAAGCGCCTTCAAACCGGTCCTTTGGCATCAAAAGGAAGACTCTGTGCCTTCAACATAGGCCATTGGACTGGGGGTTGTGTTTGTTCCGACCTTCACAGCCATTGAGAAAAGAGGGAACAGAAAAAGCTTCTCAGCTGCGAAATCTCCTTGGACCCAAGACAACCAGAGACTGTAATGTATATTTCCTTTACCCCTTTGAAACTTCCAGCTTATTGCCTTAAAGGGATAACTCTTTGTGAACAATAAAACCTATTTTGAGTTATCTACAGTGTTTTGGTCCTTGGGAGTTCCAGTTTCCTAAAGGAGGGCAAGAAGCAATCCCCTGGGGGAAAGATGTCACGTCTATGTCTCTTTCACTAAGAGTTATAGCCCCCAGGCACGACGGCATATCCTGTTCGGATTATAAATCTTGTTGCAAACCTTTGGGATTAAAGTTACAAACATTTGGGATTATAGTCAAGTTCAAATATCAAGCCTTTGGATTATGGTCATGTTCATGCTTTCAAGCTTATGGATATAATTCTAGTTTAAGTGCAACAATCCTGGGATTACAGTTTCTTGCTTTTGTCTCCAGTGATGTTTGGAATTCATATTTAGAGTTTGTCTTTGCTGTTCATTAAGCTCCCAGAAATCTAGCTCATGGATGTATTTTGAAACTGTTTTTATATTAGATACCCTTTTCTTACTAAACTTAGTATTCTTGTTCATCTGTGTGGTGTTTGGGTGGAAAAGGGATCAAGTGGGCGAATGGGCTGCAACATTAGGGATCTGGGTCAAAACTAACAAAATGGATTCTGGGTGGGGGGTGGAATACAAGGCGTTACACTTAAACAATAAAAAATGGAATGCAAAAATATAGGATGGGTAACACCTGGCTTGTAAACAGGTCACGTGAAAGGAATTTAAGAGTCAGCAGGTCACATGCTGAACATAAGTCAGCAGTGTGATGCACCAGCTTGAAAAGCCAATGTGATTCTAAGTTGCCTCAATCAAAGTCTAATGTCTAGATCAAGGGAGTTAATAGTCCTATTCTCTTCTGCTTAGATTAGACCACATCTGGAACGCTGTGTCCATTTCTGGACAGCCCAATTCAGGAAGGATATTGGCAAGCTAGAACATGTCCAAAGAAGAAAGGCCAAACTAATCAAAGGTCTAGAAGCTGACCTTAAGGAGAGTGGCTTAGGGGCTGGTTATTTTTAGCTTGGAGAAGCAAAGATTGTATAAGGAAATTGTTCCTTACACAAGCAACTTCTGCATAAAATGTTTTGCATAAAAAGTGGATAGAGGCTCCCACACCTTTTGACACCTCACACTTTCAACACTTGCAAACTACAGACACATTCCAGTCATTTGATGACGGATTTGCTCTTTCGTCACCTCTTCTTGCCTATGAGGCTTGGTTTGGGCTTCTTGTAGCATGTGTACAGTCCCAAGGCGGGCCTACAGACAGGGGCGGCTCATCCATTACGCGAAGTAAGTGGTCACAGAACACTTTTTTTGCCAGGGCGCAGAGGCGCCTCTATAAATGCCCCTCGACTGCCACTTGAGCGGTCGCAGAACACTTTTTTTTGCCAGGGGCGCAGAGGCGACTCTGTAAATGCCCCTCGACCGCCACTTGAGGAGCGCCCCCTCAGCTCACAACAGCCCTAACAGTCCGGGGGGAGCCTCGGCTTTCTTGCCTCGCTGCCGGGCGATCCTCTTCCCAAAGGGGCCGGGCCCTTGAGCCTCGCCTAGCCCCTCTCGTTCCTGCTCCACCCGACCACCAGGTGAGCGAGCAGAGCCGGCACTCAATCGTTCTCCGCATTCGATCCCTTCCCCATGACCGGCTCCGTTTCCCAATCCCCCGGCGCTCCACCCGCCTCCTCTCCTCTCCCAAATCTGCAGGTGGGTCAAGGGGCGGAGCCGCCACGCCTGGCCCGCTTTCGGTCCAGAGGCGTGTCTGAAGACCCCAGCGTGCGCACCAAAAGTCGCCTCTTCTCCTGACTTTCTCTTCAGCCATTGGGACCAAGAGAGAGAGAGAGAGCCCCTCCGGCTGGAGGTATCTCCCATCTCCGCTCCCTCCTTTGTTTTTGCGCCTACCTTCAGGAAAGGTGGGCATCTCCACCTCTGTCTCTCTCTCTCTCTCTCTCTCTCTCGGTCCCAATGGCTGAGGAGAAAGTCAGGAGAAGAGGTGACTTTTGGTGCACACGCCGGGGTCTTCAGGCATGCCTCCGGACCCAAAGCGGGCCAGGCAAGGGAGCAAATGCGGCAAGTGTAGTTACTGGGATGTATAGTTCACCTACAATCAAAGAGCATTCTGAACTCCACCAATGATGGAATTGAACCAAATATGGCACACAGAACTCCCACGACAAACAGAAAATATATATCAATGATTGGTTGGGGGGGGGGGCGCCAAAATACTGTTTGCTTACCGTTGAAAATTACCTAGGGCCACCTGAGAAAGCTCTTTTAGCTGTACAACACATTCAAAACTGATATATACTGCATTATTTATGTTGTTCAGCAATCCAAATGCATTTGCAAGCTAAAATAATGTGGCTTCCACTTTTCAACCAATTCTACTTCCTGACAGTCAGATATGTGGGGGCTTCCTGTACTTACTTTCTCTATCTGATACAGATAGAAATCACTGAAATCCTGGGGATCATGTTGCATCTCATGTTCCTTGTGTTTTGCAATCTCTTGCTTTAAAAGTATAATCGCCCTGTCGATTTTTGCAATGGCATTTGAGACAGGTGTTGAGAAATGTTCCATGAGCCATGGAAACATTTCATAGAGCTGCAAGGGAAACAAAAAATAAAATTCTGTCACTTTCACGAGCCATTATATCTCCCAGATCCTTTGGATTAGTACTTTGATGAGATGGTTTGGAAGATTCTTTGAGGCTATGGATGTATAGCCTATAAGTGTTTTTCTACACATAGTGTAGACTTGTCAATGGGATGGCTTGGCTTGCAAATTAGCAGGACCATGATGCACCAGTCTTGAGCTTAAGCCAGATGCAAGAAGAATGGAGTAGGGTAGTGCTAAAATATTAACTGCTTGCCCAAATCCATAAACCACTTTCCCAGGATGTCTCTATCCTGCAATTGTGCTCATATGGCTAACCCTTTCAGGGCTCAGGTTTCCCCATATATCCCTTAAATGCTGGCCAGCCATCAAATAGTGCAAACAGTCAGAACTGCTCAAAAATATATTCCACTACAGCTTGCACACAAATGTTATGATACCATTTGATACCATATGATACCTGACTAAACCTATGTTGAGACCCATGTGGACAAGCATAGCCAAAATGTAATAAAAATGACAAATATTATTAATGAAGAAAGCCAGATAGGCTGAGAGAAGCATGAGCAGTTTGCTGTTCCTTGTGTCTACTGGGAAGAGCAAGATTTTTCTCCTCCTTTTCTCACTCCTGCCTTCTCACCATTATAAATTCAGCAGATTAGCAGGAAAAAAAAGTTTTTTTCCATGGAGGCAACAAATCATGGAACTCCTTTCTTAAAGGTTCCACTAACTTAATTGTGTTTCTACATGGCAACAGGTCTCAGGAAGCCTATGGAGTATTTGGAGAAATGTGTGCTCCAAAAGTGTTAACCAGCTCTATTTTGACATTATTCTGGACCACATGTGTCAAGCTCAAGGCCCGCAGACTGAATCCGGACTGTCATGTCATTTTATGTGCCTCTCCAGATGCTGGACTACATCTTTTGTATTCCTCATCATTAAATATCATGACTAGGGCTGATAGGAGTTGGGATACAACAACAACAACAATAATGTCACAAGTACCACCTGCCAGTCGTAAAGAACTGGTGGGATCATAAACCTGCAAAAGTAATGGAAAATGAACATGCAAAAATACTGTGGGACTTTTGAATCCAGACTGACAAAGTTTTGGAACACAATAGACCAGACACCATGATTGTGGAAAAGAAAAAAGTCTGGATTATTGATGTCACCATACCAGGTGACAGTCGCATTGAGGAAAAACAACAGGAAAAACTCAGCCGATATCAGGACCTCAAAATTGAACTGCAAAGGCTCTGGCATAAACCAGTACAGGTGGTTCCAGTGGTCATTGGTACACTGGGTGCCGTGCCAAAAGATCTCAGCCGGCATTTGGAAACAATAAACATTGACAAAATCACAATCTGTCAACTGCAAAAGGCCACCTGACTTAGATCTGCGCGCTTCATTCGATAACACATCACACGCTTGGGAAGTGTTCAACTTGTGAGTTTGTGATACAAAATCCAGCATAGAGATCTTGTTTGCTGTGACATACTGTGTTTTTGTGTCAGAATAACAACAACAACAACAACAACAACAACAACAACACTTCTTACCCACCTCTCCTTGTGGCTTGAGGCAGGTCACAACACAGTCAAAACACACAAACATTGCAAATATTCTGTAAACACACATATTAAAATGTAATTGTGCTGGTACGGCTGTACCAGGAGCTCCAACTTCATTTTCTTTCTATTAAATGTCTGCATGCATTCCAAGGTTTCAGGCATTCTGCAAAGGTGACTTCCCTTGGTTTGCAATTATAGGGCCAATGACCCATCAATCATTGTTAAGTTTTGGTTCCACCCCTTTCCCCAGGGCCCTGGGAGGAGAGGGAGCCATTTTTAGTTCAGTCTTACAGAAGGAAATTAAGCTACAGGACGTGGACCAGCTCCACCTGCAGAAAAGCTTCATTCCCTACAGCTTCGGGGGAAACAGCTTCCGGGGAGAAATAGTTCCAAAGCTCTGGCTGGGAACTTACAGCCTCTCAGCCTTACAGCATTCGGGGGAAACAGTTTTACAGACCCAAAGAACTCCAGCTGGAGAATCTACAAAGCCTTGACTGGTAGGTCTACTCAGGACCCAAGAAGTAGTTTGGAACCGGTAGTAGGACCCACATCAGCAAAGCCTAGATAGTAGATTGCCTGGGAGAGGTTAAAAAAGGGTTTTCCTTTTAAAAGAAAAGAAACAGTTCTCAAAGCCAGTTGCCTGTCCCTTGTGGACAAGATTAAGAAAGCCACCAGTCATTTGTATGATTGTCGTTGAAGATTGAAGAAGGATTTGTTTAATTTGTTCAATCATAAAGGACTTTGTTAAACCTTTCAAGCCTCTAAAGACTCTTCCAGAGGAAAATCCTTAGGGCCTCTCTATCAAGGCACCCTGGCTTCCCGCTGGGCACAAAGTGCACGTCCTGTTCAAAAGACAATTATTACAGGCCCAGCGCGTGACAGCACAGTTACCTATAAATGGTACATATCAAAACAGATTTCTATGAAACACATATTAAATACACAGGACAGAGAAAACACAGGTCACAAGTTAAAAAATCATGCTTAAAACTGGCTGGGTAGGCCTGCCAGAAGAGACAGCTGGAAGGCTGCAGTTTGCTCTATTTAGTCACAATAATAGGGTTTGAATTTAGATGCAAGGTTTGTGGATGTGATGTCTGACATTAAATTATCCTTTAACACCGAACCTTAGAGCTACATGTGCTGTTGGGTTGCTGTTCTCATTACCCCAATCCGCGGATAATCAGCAGTGATGGGAGTTGTTGTTCAATAACAGATGGGGACTCAAATTGGGTAAAAACTATAGAATATCAGCCACTATATAAAAATTATACAGTAGTTGGCCCTCTGTATCCACAGATTCTCCATCCAGGAATTCAATGACCCATTTAAGGTAATCATCAGGCTGAAGTGGTCCTAAATGAAAATGTGTGTCATACTCCTACTCTAGACCAAATTTCAAAACCTGGAAGACTGGAATTTGGGAAATGCTGCTGTATACTATCACAATGTTCAGGTTTTAGAAATATAGTATTGATATCCATTTTCTATCTTTCAGAATGCTGATATGAGACTTAATGTTTCTTTCTTGCAGGAGACAATTGTTTCAATAAGAAAATAAAAAAGAGTACTCACAATATAAAAGATGCTGTCTCCAAATCTGGTAAAAATTGCAAGCTGTTCTATCATTTTCTGGTTTTCCTCCTCGCTATGATAAAACTGGTTCCCCCAAATGACACCACAGATCACTTTTAAGATGGCACTTGTCACTGGTAGTACTGGGTCAATTGGATGGCCTACAAATAAAGTTATTCAAATTGATTAAAGGGACATGTCCTAATACTTTCATTGTTCATAGATCTGATTAAAAGGATCTCTCTAGGGATCTCTAGATTTTGTTCATTTTCATGGTTTCCTCCTTTCTGTTGAAATTGTCCACATGCTTGTGGATTTCAATGGCTTCTCTGTGTAGCCTGACATGGTAGTTGTATAGTGGTCCAGATTTTCTGTATCCTCAAATAATATGCTGGTATCCAGGAGGGTTTCTCACAACCTCTGAGGATGCTTGCCACAGATGCTGCCAAAACATCAGGAGAGAATGCTTCTAGAACATGGCCATACAACAACCTCACACAGAAATATTTGTCAAAATTATCAAAATTCACTTCAAACCCAGAACATGTTCCAAACAACCAGTCCAAATGTGCCTCCATTGAGTTCAATGGATTTTGAATAGGTCATCCACATAAACCCCAAACTATGGCCCGTGGGGTAGATGTGGCCCTCCAAGGTCATTTACTCAGCCTCCATCCTAAGCTTTAGACTTAGGATCACTCTAAGTCTGAAATGACTTGAAGACACACAACAACAAGAATTCTAATTAACTTGACTATCTCATCAGCCAAAAGCAGGCCCATGCTTCCCACTGAAATATCAGCAAGTTTATGTTGTCTTGTCGAAGGCTTTCGTGGCCTATGATACCAAAATAAAAAGCAAAAGGGAAAAGAAATATCTTTGCCTTGGGGAGAGTTAGAGTGGCTGGCAAATCCATGGCCGAGTCCAGTGCAGAAATGTATCCAAATCCCCAACAGCGTCAGACCTCTCAAAATGGCTCAAGCTAGCACAGAAACACAAAAGTTTTGGCTTGAACTTTTTCCAACCCTATCTTACGGTGTCAAACTTAGCAATAATTTCCTGTCTCTGAGGAACTTGATGCAACATGACATAGCTTTAGCTCTAATCTCTGGATTATGGGCACGTATTATTCTGACAATAAACAAAGAGAATGGGATTTCATAACAGCTGGAGTGATTTGTTAGGATCAACTACAGTTTATCCGGGGAAACATCTTCTCCAAGAATGACATACCCTTTGTGCGCGCGAACACCTCCACAATCCCAAGGGCCTCCTCTTCTATCACGTGCTCTGCGTATTTCTTCCCCAGGCCCAACTTCCGCAAGGTAGCTTGCCCAAACCATCTTTGTTGCCTCCAAGTGTGACTGTTTGTTGTCAAAATACCTGAGGACCACAGCAATCAAGAAAACACACTAAGCAATAAACACTTCCCAAAATTCTGTCAGGATTTATTGAGATATTATGTGTATGTGTTTTAAATGTAATTCTTGCATTGCCAATATGGATGCCACTTAGAATGAAAATGCTATGCTGAAATATTTATGTTGAGGCTGTGATTGAGTGACCTTAAGATAAGCTCTCTTCTGCTGAGAAATTTTGGGGAGTTACCGCTTGGAGCAAGAGAGCTTACCAGCTGTGAAGAACTGTTTTGACTTTTGTTTTTCCTGTGTGTTACTTGCTGAAGATGGATGTGCTTTTGCTCTGTGCTTAGTAAACTGAGTTTTCTTTTGTAGCCTAACATCTCCAGAGTTTGTGACTTACAGAGCTGTGTCTGGTGGATCTAGCATTTGCTTCTGTCAAGTTGCGCCTTAGCTAGACAAATTCATGTTCAGAAGGCTGCTTGCACAGTTTGTATCTGTTTGTCCATAACTTATTGATACGTTGAGAACAGATTTGCAAGAACACTACAGTGTCACTGTCTGTTGATTACAGAAGAATCTAGTATTTCTAATATTGGCCACCACTCATCGATCAATGTTCCAAACAATTGAATGTTCAAAACCCTAGCCCAGTTATTCTGGCCATTCCCGTTTTTGTGTAAATAAAGGTCATGAATAAAAGTATACCAGACACCAGATTTGCTGAGTCTCATGGCTTTTCTATGCTCTGGAGCAGGCATGGGCAGACTTTCTAACTTGGGGGCCTCATGTGGGATGGTGGTGGGTGGGCTGGGAGGGAGGTTCTCCCCAAACCCCTCCCTGCCCTTTCCTCCCCTTCCTCTTCTCTTTTGGAGACAGAAAGTGAAGAAAAGATGGGAAACTTTTAGGTCCCAAAAGGGTTGTCCTTTGTCAGCATGAGATGGTGTATGGGAGAGAAAAAGTGTATCCATGAGACCCCACATTGCCTACTCCTGATCTAGAATCCTAGAACTGGAAGAGACCCCCAAGGTCCACCCAGTCCAACCCTCTGTGTAGAGGCCAAGGCCGTTGGTGTGGCAGGAGGGACCTTTTTTTTTATCCCACCGCTGCCACCAATAATTATTATGTATTACACCACATCCCAATTAACTGGGAAATATATGACAATGGGTAGAATAGCTTAACTGTAGCTGAGCAGTTTTACTATTATTTATTTATATTAGTATGTGTATTTGAGTGAGTGAGGCTTGTAATGCTGATGTAAGGCTTAACTTTTAAAATGTTTGCCTGAGGCACTTTTAAAAAAATGTGTAAACCTGTGCTGGTACGGCTGTACCAGGAGCTCCAACTTCTTTTCCTTTCTATTGAGTGTTTGCATGTATTCCAAAGTTCCATGCATTTTGCAATAAGGTGGCTTCCCTTGGTTTGCAATCATAGGGCCAATGACCCATCAATTATCATTATGTTCTTTAGTTCCGCCCCTTTTTCTGGGTTAAGGAGGGGAAAAGAGGACCTCTAGTTCAGTTCACACAGAGAAGCCTTTCGTACAGGACATGAATCAGTTCCACCTGTAGAAAGCTTAGTCTTTTACAGCTTTGCTGGGGGATCCAGTCCCACAGCTCTACAGAGAACTACAGCATAGCCTTTGTTGGGGAATTTAGTTCCACAACTCTACAGCCAGCTCTTTGCTGGAGAAATACAGCTCCATGGTTTTACAGCCAGCCTTCACTGGGAATTGAAAGCCTTCTTTCCTCTTGGAAATCTACTAAAGGACTCTGTTTGGTAAGGACCACTCGCGGCAGCCATAAAGCAATTTGGACCGGGTGTAGGGGCCCACGCCAGCAGAGCTTAAGCCAGATTGCCCAGGGAGGGGTCAAGGATTTCCCTTGTAGAAGGAAGAAACAGTTTATGAAGAAAGTTGCCTGTTCCTTGTGGACAAGATTTAAGCAAGCCACCAGTTGATTCAAAGCCTTGAGGTATTTGTTTGATTTATTGAAGATTTAAGCAACAATAAAAACTTTGTTGAACTTTCTAAGTCTTTAAAAGAACTTTGTGTGGGGAAATCCGAAAGGCCTCTCAGCCGAGGCACCCCCGGCGTCCCGTTGGGCATTCAGAAAACATGTCCTGTCTACAGACTCTTTCACAGGCCCAGCACATGACAGCACAAAACCCATACCATAAACTGAATTCTTTCTTCCAGTTCTTCAGCTGTCTCCCTCTCAGGTAAATCTTCTCTTCAATAACTGGACACAAGCCTTTATTATAATAAACTGAACCAGGAAATATTTATTCACGGATTCTCAGGCATATAAAGCTTAGCAGGTTACACAGTAGTTCTGAGATGTTGTTACAACTGGCTTCTGTTATTACAAACACTTGAAACAGTTTCCAATATAACTCCCAGAATGGTTTATCCTTTTACCAGACTGGCTTGAACTTATTTCACTTCAAAATATTATTTCTTTTCAGTCTCCTGACTGACATTTAAGGCACTGACTTGCCTTTTACTTCCTTCAGCTATCCCATTGAAGTTACAGAGTACCACTGGGGTTGCTTTCCCCTTTAGCTTAACAGCTATTTACTAAATCAAACAGGTTCAGTTGACACTCTAAATAACCAGGCTGAAGACTTAAATCTCTTGGCCCAGCTCTAAACTAGCCACAACCAACCCTTGTCTTTGACTCACCGGCCAAAGACTGATTTTTAAAATGTCTGTTCCACTCCAGTTGGCAGTTATATACAAGAGCATATAGGGTACATTCTTTAATGAAGTCTTCTTAGTGGACATATTGTTGTATGCCTTTTCCCCATCGGTGCACATTTTTATTGCTTAATTTCACTGAGCCTGGAATTAACTCAGGATTAATGGATTGCTTTTCTACTGATCTTGCCTATGTTCTTTCTATATTCGTTGTGGGGATGTCATGCGACAGGGACTGACACCTACTACTGTTTTGGTTTGCCACCTCTGCAGGATAATATCCCTAAATATAAAACTCTTTGCCATTCCCAAGAACTTACCCCTTTTTTTACACATGGCTTTGGTTGTAGGAGTCACGGGTCGCTCACCAAACTCTTCTGCATGGTTGATTAGTCCTTCTTTCACTGCTTGGTAACCGGACAGGACAACTATAGGATACGGGCCCATCCATATTGTGAAAATGTTTCCGTATTGCTTTGCAAGCTGTCATTGGGATCAAAACAGAAATAAATGATGTTACAGTCCCAAATGAGCCAATTGCTTCCTATTTGAAAATTAAGTGTGGAAGTGTGGAAAGCTGGAGAAGACTATTGTAAGGTTTTACAATGTATTGTAATGTAATATAGCTGAGTCATGCACTGCTAATGGGCTTCTATTGGAAATGCTGAGTCATGCATTAACTGTATATAGAACTTCATTTGGGGAATGTGTTCTGGCCTAGTCCAGGTGATTGTGAATGATGCAATCCTGGGTTTGAGTTAAGTCAATGAGTTGGGAACCAATCAGTGATTGCTATGTGTAAATGGATTGTATATAAGGAAGTCATGTACAGTGTATTCTTCCTCCTTGTGCTGTGATGTTGTTCGTCGAAGGCTATATGTAAGATATAACTGTATGCTGTGGTAAGTTTGTAATATCATCTAGACTGGGGGAAAGACAATGGTAAAACTGACAATGGCCGGGCATGTGCTCAAGTGTCTGTAAAAGGTTCCAGAGTGACTGCAGGCTGTGGGAGCAGTTGACTGAAAATACTGTGCAGGAAGAAGCTACTGGAAAGTTGTGCAACTGATCTGCTACTGAATTGTGAAGTTAATCTCAACAACTATACTACACTTGATCTTAGCCAAAAGGCTGAGAAGCGATGGAGAAGCCGAAAAAGAAAAAGGTTTAAAAAAATTATTTTTTATTGATTTTATATTGTAACATCATTTCTGATCCATCCATACAACAGTAGTATGAAAATTGACTTTTGTGTTAGGTTACACAGGCGCATAATTAAAACTTGTGCACCAACTGCACCCATATCTTGGGAGGTTGGACTTGGCCATAGTAGTCTACTCTCTGGTCACATCCCAAATAGATTACTGCAATGCACTCTACGTAAGGTTGCCTCTGCAGATTGTTTGGAAGCTTCAGCTAGTCCAACGCTTGACAGCCATGTTGCTCACGGGAGCGGGATACGGACAGCGTACAATGACCTTGCTTCACCAGCTCCACTGGCTGCCTATTAGGTTCCGAGCACAATTCAAAGTGCTGGCTTTGGCCTATAAAGCCTCAACGCAGTGTTTCTCAATCTTCCTAATGCCATGACCTCTTAATACAGTTCCTTATGTTGTGGTGACCCCCCAAACATAAAATTATTTTCGTTGCTACTTCATAACTGTATGTTTTGCTACTGTTATCAATTGTAATGTAAATATCTGGTGTATTTTCATTGACTGAACCAAATTTGGCACAAATACCCAATACACCCGAGTTTGAATACTAGTGGGGTTGGGGGGGGGGTTGATTTTGTCATTTGGGAGTTGTAATTGCTGGGATTTATAGTTCACCTACAATCAAAGAGCATCTGAACTCCAACAACAATGGAATTGAACCAAATTTGCACACGGAACTCCCATGACCAACAGAAAATACTGGAAGGGTTTGGTGGGCATTGACCTTGAGTTTTGAAGTTGTAGTTCACCTACATCCAGAGAGCACTGTGGACTCAAACAATGATGGATCTGACCAAACTTGGCACGAATACTCAATATGCCCAAATGTAAACACTGGTGGAGTTTGGGGAAAATAGACCTTGACATTTGGCAGTTGTAATTGCTGGGATGTATAGTTTACCTACAATCAAAGAGCATAGATAGAATTGATACCAAAGCAATTGAAACCAATGATAGGATTGGGCCAAATTTCCCCACAGAACCCCCATGCCTTGAAGGGACTCACTGGCGTGAGACTCCCTCCAGTCTTGCATTCTCTCCCTCACCCACATATGCGCACCATGCTGTCATGCGCCGAGCATGCCTGCTTTCCCTTCCCTGCTTGGAGTCTCAGAAACAGCCCTCTCCTTGGCTGAGAGGCCTGCCAATCACATCGGAGGGTGACTTTTGGTGGCAGGATTCGCCCTCTGTTTCCAAAAAGGAAGAGAAGGACAGGCAGAGAGATCTTCAGCATTCTCTGTCAAAGGGGTTTCTAAGACCAGCAGAAATATATGTTTTCTCATGGTCTTTGGCGACCCCTCAGAAACCTCCTCACAACCCCCCTCCCCCAGGGGTCCTGACCCCCAGGTTGAGAAACGCTGCTGCAAAACCAGACGTAAACCATGTTCATGTAGATTATGCAAACATGTTGCAGAATCTCAGTGTAAAAGATACACTTACAGAGCTAGTTTGTTATTGCTCAACATTGCCTCAGAGTCATTAGTGGTATTCCATAATTAATCCACAGCATAAATGCTTATCCATGTACAAATTTTATGCAGTGGCACCAAAAGTGCACAATCTGCAAAATGTAAATGCTCATTCATACACAAAGCGTGAGCAGTGATACCAAATGGGTAACTCCAATTCCACAACCTCCTAGTGAATGCTGCTGAATATAGAAGATATTAATATGATTCCAGCCAATATGAGTATGTGTTTCTTTGAAGCATAGGCTTCGTTGTTGTTATTATGGACTGTCAGGCTGATATCAATGTATGGTGACCCGATAAATGAGAGATGCCCAAGTGATCCTGTTATTAACAATGCTGCTCAGATCTTACAAACTCAGAGCAGTAGTTTCAGATTTTGACGAGACATGTGGTGGCCAATTTTCGACTGTATTCAGCTGCTGTGAATTTTGTGTTTTGTTTGTTTGTTTGTCTGTTTTTAATGCAATACAACTGGTTTGGTTTGCTCCTGACACGATAAATAAATAAAGCTGCTGTGAAAGAAGAACAGCTGTGTGTGGGCTTTTCCTCTCCCCACCTTTAGCCTTGCCAGAGCCCATAAGGGGGAAAAATAAGCATATAACGTGTCTTTTAGCAAAACTGGCATTTGAGAGGGAGAGATGTGCTAACTCTTTGTGTCTCTGTGCCCGCTGTTTAGTGTTTGAGAAATGGAACGCTTTTTGAGAATTCCCTTTTCTTCTGCATTCCTCTGGTCCACTCCTCCCTAGCAAAATTACTAGTAAAATAAAAGAAGGATTGAAAGATATTCAACTAAGCCCCCCCTTCAACTCTTTGATTCTCTGCTATACCCTCCCCAGCCCTACCTTCTGGCTTGTGTGTGCCTGCACCAGTTCAGCAGCCCCCACCTCCTCAAGCTTCTTGTTAGTTTAGAATGCAAGATACTCCACTTTGGCAGGAAAAACGAAATGCAAAGATACAGAATGGGGGACAATGCCTGGCTCGAGAGCAGTACGTGTGAAAAAGATCTTGGAGTCCTCGTGGACAACAATTAAACATGAGCCAACAATGTGATGTGGCGGCAAAAAAAGCCAATGGGATTTTGGCCTGCATCAATAGGAGCATAGTGTCTAGATCTAGGGAAGTCATGCTACCCTCTATTCTGCTTTGGTTAGACCACACCTGGAATATTGTGTCCAATTCTGGGCACCACAATTCAAGAGAGATATTGACAAGCTGGAATGTGTCCAGAGGAGTGCGACTAAAATGATCAAGGGTCTGGAGAACAAGCCCTATGAGGAGCGGCTTAAGGAGCTGGGCATGTTTAGCCTGAAGAAGAGAAGGCTGAGAGGAGATATGATAGCCATGTATAAATATGTGAAAGGAAGTCACAGGGAGGAGGGAGCAAGCTTGTTTTCTGCTTCCCTGGAGACTAGGACGTGGAACAATGGCTTCAAACTACAAGAAACGAGATTCCATCTGAACATGAGGAAGAACTTCCTGACTGTGAGAGCCATTCAGCAGTGGAACTCTCTGCCCCGGAGTGTGGTGGAGGCTCCTTCTTTGGAAGCTTTTAAACAGAGGCTGGATGGCCATCTGTCAGGGGTGCTTTGAATGCAATATTCCTGCTTCTTGGCAGGGGGTTGGACTGGATGGCCCATGAGGTCTCTTCCAACTCTTTGATTCTATGATTCTATGATTACCTATATGAACGTGCCTCTCGCCCTTTATTATACTTCACTACTATATACAATCCACTACTCATTACATCTGCATAGTGATGTCAACAAACTTTACCTGGCTAGAATGTTCACATCAAAGAAACAACAACAACAACAACAACAACAACAACAACAAACTGATGACAATCCACTACTCATTACACCCACATAGTGATGTTGACTGACTTGACTTGCCCAGAAAATCAGGAGGCAGAGGGCTTCTGGAAGCGAAACAAATGGCAGAAGAAGAGAAACATGCACTGGCAGATTATGTGAAAGGCAGTCAAGGACAAACATTGAGGGAATTCAATAGTAGAACACTGCTTCAAGTGCAAAAGACAAAGAGAGAATACTGTAAAAATACAGTTCAGAGCAGAAGAGGCCAAAGAAGGTACTCCTTGGACAGTTCCTGGGAAAAATTGAGAGCCAAATTGACAAAGAAAAAACATGGCTGTGGCTCACAAATGAACTCTGAAAAAGGAGACAAAGGAGGGCCTGATTCTGGCAGCCCAAGAACAAGCCATTAGAACCAATGCCATCAAAGCCAGAATTGAAAAGTCGACAACAGATCCCAAATGTAGACTCTGCAAGGAAGCAGATGAAACAATAGATCACATCCTCAGCTGCTGCAAGAAGATCGCGCAGACAGACTACAAGCAGAGGCATAACACCGTTGCTCAGATGATTCATTGGAACTTGTGCCACAAATACCATCTGCTGGAAACAAAGAACTGGTGGGATCACAAGCCGGAAAAAGTTACAGAGAATGAACATGCAATGGGCGAATTCAAGACAGAGTTCGCCTGTTGTGGGGGTGGTTGAAGAGTCTGGAATGAGCCCGTGTTGGAGGAGATCATTGCGCTGTCGTCTTTAACAGGGTGAGGAAATTGGAACTTGTGCAACAAATACCATCTTTCTGCAACAAGGAACTGGTGAGATCACAAGCCAGAAAAAGCTACAGAAAATGAACACGGTAAGCTACTCTGGGACTTCCGGATTCAGACAGATAGAGTTTTGGAGCACAAGACTCCTGACCTCACGATCGTGTTAAAAAACAAAGTATGGATTGTCGATGTTGCAATCCCAGGTGACAGCAGGATTGAAGAGAAACAACTGGAAAAGATGACACGATATGAGGATTTAAAGATCGAACTGCAAAGACTGTGGCACCAGTAAAGGTGGTCCCAGTGGGGATCGGCACACTGGGTGCAGTGTCTAAAGACCTTGGCCTGCACTTAAACACAATCGGTGCTGACAAAATTACCATCTGCCAGCTGCAGAAGGCCACCTTACTGGGATCTGCACGCATTATTCGCCGATACATCACACAGTCCTAGACACTTGGGAAGTGTCCGACATGTGATCCAATACAACAGCCAGCAGAGTGATCTTGTCTGATGTGGACTCATCTTGTTGTGTTTCAAATAATAATAATAATAATAATAATAATAATAATAATAATAATAATAATGATTTATTTTTTTCCTGCTCTATCTCCCTGTGTTTGTTACATGTTTTTAAATAAGAAAATGTACTTTATTAATAATGAATATAAATAATGAATATAAATGCACATTCACATGCAAAAATAATCGAAAGAATGATCAACTTTAAAATGGCAGAACACAAACTGTAGCAAGAAAACACAAAGCACAAAGTGAAGAGGCAGGAGCATCCTTTTCTTCCTATTTATTTACTTTATTTATTTATTTACTTTATATGTATACCGCCCCTCTCAGCCTTACTGGAGGGACTTGCTTTCTCTCTCTCTCTCTTCATGAAGCCAAACAGACCAGGAATAAAAGCCACACAAAATCAACTAACCCAAAGTCCCCCAAAACAGACAAAAGCAAAGCTGACAGACGGCAATCTCCCAAAGCAGACAAGAACACGAGGCATGAAGGCTGCTTTTATGAAGCTATAAAGCCCTGTAATCTCACACTAGTGCTTCCTCTGGTGTTTGTTCTTAACTCAAAACACTTTTAAGTTGAGGTGCTCTTAAGTCAAGCTTCTACTGTAGATAACAATGGATCACGAATCATCTAATTCTGCTAAACACATTTGCAATTCTTCACCTGTGTTGGGAGTATTGTGCACACTAGGTGACACCAAAAATGATTGACTGACATTTTTTTTGTTCAGCGTTTCAGCAGAAATGTATAATTTTTTACAAAAATATCCCATTTTTGTGAGTCTAGCTTACATGTACTGCATTGATATAATCACAAGGCTAATTCATTTTGTTAACTTACTGTATTTTCTGGAAAATCTTCTCAAAAGTCTGGGATCGTCTTGTATGCCGGGTGCTGAAATTTCTGAGCCAGAATGGAGAATTTGCAGTTGCTGCATATGGTGGGGGGAGCTAAAAAACGGCCACGGCTGCATCCCCACCATATCGGTGACCATATGAAAGCAGCAAGGGCAGCACTGTACATGTACAAGTACGGTAGAAGAAAATCCACTCACCAGGATTAATGGAAAGAAGTGACTTAACTTGATCCATAGTGTCTAGGTCCAGGGAAGTAATGCTACCCCTCTATTCTGCTTTGGTTAGACCACACCTGGAATATTGTGTCCAATTCTGGGCACCACAATTCAAGAGAGATATTGACAAGCTGGAATGTGTCCAGAGGAGGGCGACTAAAATGATCAAGGGTCTGGAGAACAAACCCTATGAGGAGCGGCTTAAGGAGCTGGGCATGTTTAGCCTGAAGAAGAGAAGGCTGAGAGGAGATATGATAGCCATGTATAAATATGTGAGAGGAAGCCACAGGGAGGAGGGAGCAAGCTTGTTTTCTGCTTCCTTGGAGACTAGGATGTAACAATGGCTTCAAACTACAAGAAAGGAGATTCCACCTCAACATTAGGAAGAACTTCCTGACTGTGAGAACTGTTCAGCAGTGGAATTCTCTGCCCAGGAGTGTGGTGGAGGCTCCTCCTTTGAAGGCTTTTAAACAGAGGTTGGATGGCCATCTGTCAAGGGTGCTTTGAATGTGATTTTGCCGCTTCTTGGCAGGGGGTTGGACTGGATGGCCCATGAGATCTCTTCCAACTCTTTGATTCTATGATTCTATCTATCTGGATCCTGATGATGAGGGAGCTGCAGGCATCCATATGAAAAAAAGAGGTAGAGTGGCACTGTGCCCAGAAAAACACACCTGTTTCACCTGTCTGGCCCGCCGTTGTATCCTATCACCGTACCTCCTTCTCTGCCTCTCAGGTCTCAGATCTCTGTACAAGATCAGAGAGGCAGAGAAGGAGGTACAATAATAGGAAAATTACTATACTGAAATAAAATCTGATGTTTAGTCTTTTACAATGATGCTTCGAATCTGGTACTTTTCTCTACTGAAGCATGTGTTGCTATTGTTGTTGCCAGGCTTTTTAAATAGCATCCGATTATGTCAAATGTTATAGTTTTTCTACAACAGTGTTTCTCAACCTGGGGGTCGGGACCCCTAGGGGGGTCGCAAGGGGGTGTCAGAGGGGTCGCAAAGACCATCAGAAAACATAGTATTTTCTGTTGTTCATGGGGGTTCTGTGTGGAAAGTTTGGTCCAATTCTATCATTGGTGGGGTTCAGAATGGTGGGATTTGTGGGTGAAGTATAAATCCCAACAACTACAATTCCCAAATGGCAAGGTCTATTTTCTCCAAACTCTACCAGTGTTCACATTTGGGCATATTGAGTATTTGTGCCAAGTTTGATCCAGATCCATCATTGCTTGAGTCCACAGTGTTCTCTGGATGTAGGTGAACTACAACTCCAAAAACTCAAGGTCAATGTCCACCAGACCTTCCCAGTATTTTCTCTTGGTCATGGGAATTCTGTGCGCCATGTTTGATTCAATTCCATCATTCATGGAGTTCAGAAGACTCTTTGATTTAAGGTGAACTATAAATCCCAGCAACTCCAGCATTACCAAATGACAAAATCAATCACCCCCAACCCCACCGGTATTCAAATTTTGGGCATATCGGGTATTTGTGCCAAATTTGGTCCAGTGACTGAAAATACATCCTGCATATCAGATATTTACAGTGCAATTCATAACAGTAGCAAAATTACAGTTATGAAGTAGCAACAAAAATAACGTTATGGTTGGGGGTCACCACAACACGAGGACCTGTACTAAGGGGTCGCGGCATTAGGAAGGTTGAGAACCACTGGTCTACAACATTGTGATATAGTTTGTTATGGGAGGCAGTCCATAGGTCTGGGAGTTACCATGGTGGGTGACACCATTACTTTCATACCAGATTTGGGATAGAAGGATTTACTAAAATGCTATTTTTATCCACAACATATAAAATACTACTACCACTACTACTAATGCCATTAAACTTCTCATTCATCTTACCTTTATTAATGTATCTTGACTCAATGTCGTTCCTATTCGCCACAGACCCCCGATGAGGGGAAGCTGGAAAGGTCCAGGAGGGTAGTTCCTGCTTGACCAGAGCTGTTTCAGATACTTTAGGATCAAACTGCCGACAAGTAGAAAAGTAAAAAAACTCCAGATCTCCATTGTTCTTCTGATGTTTCTTCACCTGCCCCAGTATTTTGTCATCACTGTCACATCTATTTGTCCACTTTTATATATACGGTTTTATGATGTGTTTGAGAAAGGCTTACCGTAGGGTTTCACTAATATGGGGATGTGTTTTGAGCATAATCCTATATTTATGAACACTTAAGCAACCCTAATTATGTTGATGCAGACATTTCCATATTTTCCATACATATAAAAAAGAGTTCCTATTTATTATTTGTACTACATGCCAGCAAAATATGCACGCGTGGACATGCATGCTCCCTATAAAAGTGATTCAGTGTCGCACTCCATGACCCGAGCATTTTACAGATGAAAAAACTTGGGTTTCTGGGGCCAGGCAACGTGAATGTGGAAGAACAGCTGGAAAAGAAGGCAGAGGTTTCTTCTGCTTGAGCCTACTGAGAAAAGCATGATTTGTTCCCTTCTCCTCCTCTCTCCTCTACATATTTAACTGTGTTTAAACCATTTTCCCACTTTGAACTCAGCTTGGAGCCATTGAAGTAAAACAAGAGGAGTAGAGGAAGGTGAGAGAAATCAAATCATTTTACAAGCATCTGAATAAGTGGGATGACAGAGGATTAATTGGGACTCTCCAAATTGGGACAGTTATAGGGTAAATAACTCAAAACAGATGAGTTAGCTGAGATGCGTCTCCAGACAAATCCTGCAGCACATTGAAAGAATGAGCCTCTATGACAGTGATTTATTATTATCTTTATTTGTACCCCGCTAGCATCTCCCGAAGGACTTGATGCGGCTTACACAGGCCGAAGCCTCAAAACACAATACAGCAAAACATAACACAACAATAAAACAGAAGCAAATCAAAATAGTTAAGCAGAATAACAACACTAGTAACAATACATCAAAACAGTTAAAACTGGGCCGGCCAGAGCAATGGGTACAGGGTTAAAAGTGCTGGAATGGCAGGAGGAACGTAGGATTAAAATAGTGCGGTGTGCAGTAATATTAATTGTACTAAAGTGCTTCTAGGACTTGGGATGGGGGATTCCTAATCTGAGAAGGCACATCGGAACAGCCAAGTTTTTAGGTTCTTTCTGAAAGCTGCTAAAGTAGGGGCCTGTCGAAGATCTTTTGGAAGGGCGTTCCAAAGTCGGGGGGCCGCCACAGAAAAGGCCCTGTCCCGTGTCCCCACCAAGCGCGCTTGCGACGTGGGTGGGATCACGAGCAGGGCCTCCCCAGATGACCGGAGTGAGCGTGTGGGTTCGTAGATGGAGATGCGGTCATGCAGGTAGGGTGGTCCCAAACCGTTCAGGGCTTTGTAGGTGAGCACCTGCACCTTGAATTGGGACCGGAAAATGAATGGCAGCAGGTGGAGCTCCTTAAACAGGAGGGTTGACCGCTCTCTGTAAGTCACACCAGTTAGTAACCTGGCTGCCGCCTGTTGTGCCAATTGAAATTTCTGGGCCATTTTCAAGGGCAGCCCCACGTAGAGTGCATTGCAGTAATCCAATCTGGAGGTGACCAAGGCATGGACCACCCCGGCCAGATCAGCCTTCGTGAGGTATGGTCGCAGTTGGCGCACAAGTCTCAATTGTGCAAAAGCCCTCCCGGACACCGCCGACACCTGAGCCTCAAGTGTGAGCGAAGAATCCAAGAGGACACCCAAACTGCGGACCTGTGGCTTCAGGGGGAGTGTAACCCCGTCCAACACAGGTTGCCACCCTATACCCCGATCTGGTTTGCGATCGACCAGGAGGACCTCTGTCTTGTCGGGATTGATCTTCAGCTTGTTCGTCCTCATCCAGATAGACACAGCGGCCAGGCACTCGTCTAGCACCCGAGAGGCCTCCTTGGAATGGTGGAAAAGAGTAGTAGAGTTGTGTGTCATCTGCATAGAGATGGCACCCAACTCCAAAACTCCGGATGACCTCTCCCAGCGGTTTCATGTAGATGTTAAAAAGCATGGGCGACAAAATAGAGCCTTGCGGGACCCCACAGGTCAAAGGCCAGGGGTCCGAGCAGGCGTCTCCCAGCTTCACCATCTGGGTTCGACCCTCCAGGAAGGACCGGAGCCACGATAGAACCGCGCCTCCGAGGCCCATCCCAGAGAGACGACCCAGAAGGATACCATGGTCGATGGTATCGAAAGCCGCTGAGATATCCAAGAGAACCAACAGAGTCACACTCCCCCTGTCCAGCTCTCTGCGGAGGTCATCCACCAAGGCGACCAAGGCTGTCTCGGTGCCATGACCAGGCCTGAAACCAGACTGTGACTGATCTAGGTAGTTGGTATCATCTAAGAAGCTCTGGAGCTGGGAGGCGACCACCCGCTCCAGCACCTTACCCAAAAAAGGGAGGTTGGAGATTGGCCTGTAATTGCTCAGCACCGTGGAGTCAAGGGAAGCTTTTTTGAGGAGTGGACGAACCACAGCCTGTTTCAGATTAGATGGAAAAATCCCTTGCTCCAACGATGCGTTGATAATCAATACAAACCAATCAACCAGCCCCTCCCTGGCTGATTTAATGAGCCAAGATGGGCACGGGTCTAGAGATGAGGTGGTCGCCCTCACAGCCCCAAGAATCTCCTCCACGGTTTCAGGAAGAACAAGCCTAAAAGAATCCCACAAAGTTGGACAAGCAGATGCCTCCGTCACCTCTTCTGGCACTGCGATGAAATTGGAGTCGAGCTCAAGGCGTATCTGGGCGACTTTACCTGCAAAATGGTGTGCGAAATCGCAACACCGAGCTGCTGGGTCATCGGTGACATCCTCCACCACAGGTGGGTGGAGGAGTTCTCCCACGACCCGAAACAGCTCCGATGATCTATTTGCTGCAGACGCTATACGGGTGGTCGTGAATGATTCCCTGGCCACCTGTATAGCCACGGAGTATGCCCTAAAAGAGGCTTTAGCCCGTGCTTGATCAGACACATCCCGAGATCTCCTCCACTTGCGCTCTAGCCCCTTTCTCGTGTGCTTCATCACAGCCAGCTCCCCGGTGAACCAGGGAGATGGCCTGTCACAACGCAACGAGATGGGGCATTCGGGTGCGATCGTATCTATTGCCCTGGACATCTCCCTATTGTAGAGAGTCACCAAGGCGTCGATAGAATCGCCAGGCTCCAAGGCAGGAAGAACCCCAAGATTCCTCAGGAATCCATCTGGATCCATCAGTCTCCTAGGGCGGACCATTTTAATCTGTCCTCCACCCCTGCGGAGGTTAAGAGTCGCAGCAAGTCTAAAACTGATCAGATAATGATCAGACCATGACACCGGAAGGATGTTTTGATCTTCCACTCTGATCATTCCACTGTCCACCACAAAGACTAGGTCGAGTGTGTGTCCAGCCTGATGGGTGGGTCCAGATATAATTTGTGACAGTCCTATGGTCGTAATGGCGGCCATAAAGTCCTGAGCTGCGCCGGACAAGGAGGTCTCAGCATGGATGTTAAAATCTCCCAGCACCACCAAGCGCTGGGAAACCAGGGCCGAATTGGAGACAACCTCTGCTAGCTCAGACAGAGAAACTGCTGGATCGCGGGGTGGGCGGTACACCAGCAGGAACCCCACACTGTCACGGCTCCCCACCTTCAGGTGGACACACTCAAACCCAGAAACCTGCGGAACAGCGCATCTGATCACGGCGATGGATTCTCAACCTGTGGGTCCCCAGATGTTTTGGCCTTCAAATCCCAGAAATCCTAACAGCTGGTAAACTGGTTGGGATTTCTGGGAGTTGTAGGTCAAAATACCTGGGGGACCTTCAGGTTGAGAACCACTGATCTGTGAACTAGACCACCAGAGATATAATGGTTCTGGCCCAGTTTACCTGTCTGAATGCATCTCTCCGTATGAACCATCTAGGCGCTTAAGATTATCTGGAGAGTCCCTGCTCTCGGTCCCACCCCCTTCGCAGACGTGATTGGCGGGAACGAGAGACAGGGCCTTCTCAGCAGCGGCCCACGTTTAAATATTTGAGGGGCATTTACAGAGGCGCCTCTGCACCCCTGGCAAAAAAAGTGTTCTGCGACCGCTTACTTCACGCCCCTGTACTTAGGTGATCCCTTGTTGTCCGAGTAGGATTGTCTTCCAAAATCAGTGTACTGGCGGTGGGTCCGTACGTGACTGTGGAGCCCTATTCTTGATCTGCATGCTCTCCCACAGTGAGGGCATTGGTTTCCAGGTGGAAGGCGGTCCCGGTCAGGGTTGGCTTGATGTGCCTTCCTCTTGGCATGTTTCTCTCTTTCACCCTCCATTCATGCCTCTTCAAATTCTACAGCACCGCTGGTCACAGCTGACCTCCAGCTGGAGCGCTCAAGGGCCAGGGCTTCCCAGTTCTCAGTGTCTATGCCAGAGTTTTAAAGGTTGGCTTTGAGCCCATCTTTAGATCTTTTTTCCTGCCCACCAACATTCCGTTTTCCGTTCTTGAGTTCGGAGTAGAGCAACTGCTTTGGGAGACGGTGGTGGGGCATCCAAACAACGTGGCCGGTCCAGCAGAGTTGATGGCGGATTACCATTGCTTCGATGCTGATGGTCTTTGCTTCTTCCAGCAGCTGACATTTGTCCACTTGTCTTCCCAAGAGATTTGCAGGATTTTTTGGAGGCAACGCTGATGGAATCTAGGGAAGTAATGCTACCCCTCTATTCTGCTTTGGTTAGACCACACCTGGAATACTGCGTCCAATTCTGGGCACCACAATTCAAGAGAGTTTTTGACAAGCTGGAATGTGTCCAGAGGAGGGCGACTAAAATGATCAAGGGTCTGGAGAACAAGCCCTATGAGGAGCGGCTTAAGGAGCTGGGCATGTTTAGCCTGAAGAAGAGAAGGCTGAGAGGAGATATGATAGCCATGTATAAATATGTGATAGGAAGCCACAGGGAGGAGGGAGCAAGCTTGTTTTCTGCTTCCATGGAGATTAGAACAAGGAACAATGACTTCGAACTACAAGAAAGGAGATTCCATCTGAACATGAGGAAGAACTTCCTGACTGTGAGAGCTGTTCAGCAGTGGAACTCTCTGC